CCAGAGTGGTAGTATTACTAAAGCCTATCAGCTTCATGATGCAGCTAGACATAGGATTGGGCCAAGCCCCTTGGCTTCAAATAGAAATGGAATTACTGGGTACATCCAAGCTAGGAAAATACTGTATGTGAAAAAGGATATGAAAAATCAGCTCCAAAATGTTCATAGTACTCTACATCCTGCAATGCAATTGTGGAATAAAAGAAAGCAGAAGTTCCTATCAGATAGCTCCCCTTTAATACCAATATATTGTCATCCAGGTCTCTCACAGGTGATGAGGTATTTAACTCCAAGAGTCTTTGAAAAGATTGGTCTTATTAGGTCAATGGAGTTTTGTACCAAACAACCTCTTTCTAGGGATTTTTGGAGGGATCATTTCAGAGAATGGGGCATATCATGACTAACCTGGTATCGAATGTAATATTATTAGACAGGCCAACACTGTGAAACAAGTCACAAAGTGCCTCACTTATTTTGAAAATCTTTTCCTCTCTCTAGCTGAAACAAATATAGGAGCAGTATCAACACTTTATTTGTTGCTGATTGAGGTAGATCAAGGATCAAAAATGGGGTTGCAGGAGATATGGGAACATGATTAGAATATTAAAATCGATTAAGAGAAATAGTCAGGAGTGTTTATACAATTCCCATACAAAGATGTCTCTGTCACAGCCATGGAGATTTCATTGAATATACTGTACTCCAAAAATGGTATTTGACTTCACTTTGGCCCTTGCATATTATTAACCCAGCAATGTCACCAATGTGTTGAAGAGGCTGTAAATGTAAGGGATCTTTTCAACACCTTTGATGGTATTGCAAAAAGGTAGACCAATTTTGGGAAGAAGTGTTTAATGAAATAAATAAAATTACAAACCAGTCGATTAACAAATCTCCAGAATTAGCACTTCTTACTCTTTTTCTGGGGAAAAATGAATCCATTTCATACAAAACCTTAATAGGCCATCTTTTGACTGCAGCAAGACAGACCACAGTGAAAGGGTGGAAAAACATGGAGTATCAATTACAGCATGGTACTCAAGAGTATGGCAGGTAGCACTGCATGAAAAATTAACCGCCAAATTGCATATAGTTAAAGGGATAAAACACTTTTTACTCTTTTGCAACTGATTGGCATCCTTTTATTGTTTATATGAATGGAATGGATAATAAGGGCCTCCCTGATGTATAAAGAAATTATTGGTAATTGTAATATACTTGGAAGATATTTATAATTTTCCCTGAAAAGATTTATAAAAATTTTGATATGACTTTGCCATGGGAATGGGAATGGAAGGGTGGGAGGGAAAGAAGGGCATAAAATATAAGAAAGTATATGTGAATGTATATAATTGAAAAACATTTAAAAAGAAAATCACTCAACAGGGATGGAGGCCTTAGATACATTCTGTCTCCTGTTTATCATGCTGCCCTTTCATCTGTCTCCAGAAAGACCAGGACCACACATACCAGAAAGACCACTGTTAACAACTGTTAACAATCCATGACAATGGGTGGAGAAGGACAGCAGAAGTGGGATTACCCCTCACCCCCAGTTATTTGTCCTTCTTACAAGCCTATTCAGACCAGGGAGAAGTGAAACCAATGTGGAGGGTATGTCAGGGATATCCTACCAATTCTACTCATACTGAAGAAGCTACTTGGATGAGTAGCGAAACATTTCAATCTAATAAGAAAGAAGTCCAGTTGCCATGATTCAACTTCCAGATAGTCATCACAACTCTTTCCCCCTCCCACACTGTGATTTGCAGTAAGATGGGGTAATCAGATGGTAAATGATGCCTGTTTTTCTCTCACACAAGCACAAGTTGTAAGATGACAGAAATCCTATGCTTTAATAGACATCTTCCAGTTCATGGGGAATTATTGCTGCTGGAGATACGTTAATTGTATTTTTCGGTATTTTTCTATTTTTCTGTTTGATCCTAAAATTATGTTGAAGCAAATTGCTGTCCTGTTTATTGGTTCATGGATCTATCTGTCAATCTTGTCTCTTATCCTCCTTACAGCAGGATCTCTGAGTATTCCTGACTCCATATTCTCTTGATAGTAACTCAGCAGTTAACTTCTGGCATCATCAGTACCTTTTCATGCATCTATTTGCCATTCCCCGCTGACCAATTGTGGGTTCTCCATTCCCTGAGAAAAGCACAGCAGTACTTTCTATAGGGTTGTGGAGTGACATTTCACAATGAATTAATGTCAGTGGTGATTGCTAATTCCCATTTAATCAGCAGGAAGAGGTATTAATTTCAGTCAGCGTATCTTAGGCCAGGCCTGTCTTTGTATCTCCTCCACTGAGAGGCACAAACTTAAAATGCTTAAAGTCTCAGTGAAAGGACTTGTTGTGATCTTATACACATGAGACACTGAGCAGGGCACACAGAGCCAAGGGTGATCTTCACAGTTTTCATTACAGCTGCCCCCACAGCTGAAAACTGTGGGGGCAAACTGCCATTCTGTTTAAAAGTTGCCATGCCATCTCAGCTAGTAGAAGTGCTGCAATGAAGTAGAGAAAGCTTCACATGTCTGTAGGTTTTGCTTGAGTGTATGCACTCAGAATCTCCTTCAGATGATGGCCAATGAAGTTAGTCTGTGTAAAATTACACCATTTATCAAATAAATAGTTTGCTGGCCTTGCTCGGCCACTTGTTTGGTTATTCTGCAGCAATATACATCTGCACAAGTATTCAGAACCCCTCTCTAGTCTTTACAACTCTATTCATACAGATATCCAAGTATTATATTTTGAAATGTTAGCTGCTTTTCAGTGAATCAAATCATTCTCTCTCTCTCTCTCTCTCTCTCTCTCTCTCTCTCTTAAGGGTCCTGTATACAAGATAGCATGGAATCCATTCAGTACAGAAGTGTTTCTAAGTTGTTCTGCAGACTGGAGTATTATATTATGGCGCCATGATTCTACCCACCCTGTCTTGACATTCACTTCCACAACTAATGTTATTTATGACATAATGTGGTCTCCCAGTTCAGCATATGTGTTTGCAGCTGCAAATGAAACTAGAATTGAAATCTGGGATCTTAGTGTCAGCACGTAAGTAACAGCATTTTTTGGAGGAGCCTTTAAATTGTTTGGCTGTATCTCAGTCCAGTGTAACTAGTTATTCTTGAGAACACTGCATAGTGTTATGGCCTTCTGTATTGTCCTTAACGGATAATCTTGAAACCAGTTTAAACCCTTCCTGTTTGCTGAGCAGGTTGGGGAAGCTCATTCATTTAAAGCAAAGCTGCTGTCATATGGTCTGAAGAAAAGCTAGTGGGAGGCTCTCTGTGGTCTGGATCCATGATCCCTCCATTGTAGGCAGATTTGCTGAACAGGCATAGTCTGAAGGGTAATCTACTCCCTCATTCTATCCTATCAGTGGGGTCCCCTGACCACCTTTGTAGCATTTTCAGGAAGTGGGGTGGAGACATGGTGGGTAGCTTTCAGCATATGCCTAAATCTGGATGTAGTGCTCTACTTTCAGCACTTTCAGCTGGCTTTCAGCGGTGAAAGCAGGAGTGAAACTACTGACAAAGGCAGTCTGCTGTGAAAAGGGTGCAGGCCATATTGTATGATTTGCTTATTCTAGCAGTAACACTGCATCCCACTTTAGAATGGTGCTAACCTTAGCCCCTAAAACAGCAACTGTGAACATGTGCTAATAATGGGAGCCTTGGATCCCTCATCCACACACTAGGGCAGCTCAACACTTCTGTTCACAAAACTCTCCTTCTAGCATGAAGTGATGAAAAGACAAGCTCCAGGAGGCCGGGGCTTTTTGCGTGCAAAACATATGCTCTGCTACTACTTGGGAAGAGACTGCCTACTCCCTGGTAGCCACGTAATGCATTCCGAAGGGAAATACCATACAGTGGTGCCTCGATTTACGATTGCTCTGTTTAACGACTGTAATGCATTCCGAAGGGAAATACCATGCAGTGGTGCCTCGCTTTACGATCGTTCTGTTTAACGATGAAACTGCATTACGACTAACTTTTTACTATCGCTTTTGCGATCGCTTTACGATGTTTCCTATGGGGGAATTTCGCTTTGTGATGATCGATTCCCTGCTTTGGGAACCGATTCTTTGCAAAACGATGATTTTTGGACAGCTGATCGGCAGTTTCAAAATGGCCACCGGGTAAACAAAATGGCCCCCGCTGTTTTCTGGGACGGATCCCTCACTGCACAGGCAGCGAAAATGGCCGCCCTATGGAGGATCTGCGCTGGACGGTGAGTTTCCAGCCCATCGTAACGCATTAAATGGGTTTTAATGCGTTTCTATGGGCTTTTTAACTTTGCTTTACAGTACGTTTTCATTCTACAGCGATTTCGCTGGAATGAATTAATGTTGTAATGCGAGGCACCACTGTATTCCACCATGCCTAAAATCTGTCATTGCATTCATGGCAAGCAAGGTGCCAGGGGAAGGAGCCCCTTGCATGTTGATGCCTTCCCTTAACCCCTGCCAGGTTTAATTTTTATTTTAAGGGGCCTAATGATCATTGTTCATGAGCATTAAATTCTGGCATAAAAAAGAGCCAATGAAGGCACAGGAATATAGCTAGCTACCTTATAATTAGCCCCACAGTGTTGCTAAGACAAACGGCCTAAATGACATGCAAGGCTGTGCTCTGACTATAACTGTGTGGCATATCCTAGCTACATGAGGCAACATGAATGTTACTGTTTGGAAAAAGTAATATGTTAAACATGGTAAGCAAGCACTCATTTAAAAGTAAACTATATCCCACAGTGGGATCCTCTAAATGGCGCTACTGCTGTGGTGATACATTATATGTCTTATTGATTTATATACAGGCTGGACCCCTTGATTGTGAACCCTGCCACTGGAAATGTGAAATTCACAACCGTACTTTTTGCTAAAAATGCAGACTGTATTCTGATTGGGGACAGTGATGGGTTAGTCACTGTGTATGCACTAAGAAATATGATTGCATCAGACAGAAAAAAGGTATGTTTTGCAATATTAGAAGCTTAAACTCACTTAGCCTCATGGAGCCATGAAAAAAATGCTCTGCCATCTAGTTGGAAGTAAATTGGTCTCCTCTTGTAGTGCACAACCTGTGACAAGTTTGGGAGCATGGCATCCAAATACTGCAGTTGGGGTCATGTTCATTGTGGCTGCTATGGCAATATAGTGGCCAGTCCAGGAATGAGGGGATACAGTAGCTGGTTCTTCCATATGGCATTATTTTGTCAAGCTAAACAATAAGAAAAGTATCTGTTCCTTCTGATTAAACAGCTATCTCATAAGGTTTCCTCAGAGATATGTGCACAGCAATCACATTTGCAAATTATGCCTGTGTTTACCAGTTGCAGAGAGAGAGACAGACAGAGACAGACAGACAGAGAAAAATACATAGATGAGAGAAGCCGTGTGCATTGATAAAAATTGTCTTTCACCAGTGCCTGTGTTTACCAGTTGCAGAGAGACAGATAGACAGACAGAGAAAAATACATAAGATGAGAGAAGCTGTGTGCATTGATAAAAATTGTCTTTCACCACTTGAAGGAGTTCTAGAATGTGCCAAACAGTTTGGTTTGACCCCGAGTAACACGTTAATGGCATGTCAGCAAAGTATCTCTGCACAAGGATTACAGTGGGGTCTTGACTTGAGTGACCCCGAGTAATAGGTTAATGGCATATCAGCAAAGTATCTCTGCACAAGGATTAACTATTTGTTAATGGTGCTGCTTGAACTTATGCTCAGCTGTATGCTGTCTCAGTACAGAAGGCATAACTGGTTTTATTCCTCTGCGCATTGGTGGTATTTTTTTTCATAAAACATGAAAAACCCACCTTGGTGATGGAGGACATTATTTGTACATACAACTTGCAAATAAAGCAAAGTCTGCTGCTTATATACTGCCCCATAGCACTTCAAGCACTCTCTGGGTGCACTGTGCCAGGAGGCTCCTATAAACATTCAGTATTCTACTGAGCTTCCACTGAGTGGGAAGTCTTGCCAATGAAGTAACAGGAGATCATGCCATTTGCTCTAGTATTGCCATTTATTTATTTATTTATTTATTTATTTATTTATTTATTTATTTATTTATTTATTTATTTATTTATTTATTTATTTATTTATTTATTTATTTATTATTTCAGAAGATGTGGGTGGGATCACTTCATGAAAAGCATTACTTGGACAGCAACAACACTTGCACAAAGAGATTGGCCAACCTTTTATTCTTTTTTGGAACGGTAGAGGATGTAGTGGCTTCTGTAGCCTAGCTTAAAGAACATAAAGATTAGTGATGTATAGGATACTAAGGTTTATTATGGATAAACAGATAAACATTTTTAAAATCTTGGATAAGATTGCTGTGGATATATGGCTAGTCCCTAAGGCTTTGGCTCTAGACTCGTCTTCTTCAGGACAAGTGCAACCGAACTCTGAGAGAAGGAGAGGTTACTTTTGAGCAAACTTGAATAGGGATGAACTCCACAAATACTTTTTATGATAAAAGTGGCAATTGTGAATGTTACCAGTACCAGAAGAAGAGAGCCAATTTATACATTTTTCTCAGTGTAGCATTTTCATTGTGTTTACAAACACATGAAATGCAACAATGAGTTCAAGCATATCTTGTGAAAAACAGCTCAGTTTCTAAATCAGTCATGGTCCTGAAAACTGTTTACATATGAAACTTTTACAACACTGTCCTTATATCCAACTAGAAGTAAATCCCATGGAGTTAGATTGTGGTTAATTTCTAGAAAGGTGGAGATTGGACTGAGGCCTTAAAACATGTGCTGGCCTTTACTGCTGATGTCATGTACTAGTGTTAGCATTTCAGTTTATGTCCTTATAAAGCCATGAGTGCTGGCAAGTTTTATTGCAAGCATTTTTACATTAGGACATCAATGTTCAGATTTGGGCTACTCATGTCTTTGTCCAAGTGATTCATTTATTCACTTTCTTGCTGATAATTAAAAGACAATACTAAACAAAAGAAAAGCACAAAAAGACTTTTGATAGGTCTGTTGATAACAATAAATGCTCATGTACATACTGTATTTATTTCATCTTTTTCAGGTGGACATTTTGCATGATATGATTGGCTCTAATTTAGCCTTTCCGGTATAGCTCTTTACAGCAATATGGAGTGAAGACAGGAAGTGATATCTGACACCTGATATTTAATTGTGCAATGCTGAAAAAAGTAACTATTATATATATATATGTACTTATGTGTGTGCATTCGGTATATGGAATCAAATCTGTTGGAAAACCTTGGAAAATTCCTGGATTGAAAAGAAACAATCCTTACAGACACATCAAAGTTAACTGTCAGTGTTAACTCTAGAATGGCATAGCACAATATGATGTGTGCCAAAGACAATACAGAGATAGAAACTAAACCTGAAGCCATGCTCTGGCTTTTGCAAACTCTATGGTATCCTATGAAAAGCTATTCAAAAAATGGATAATTTAGGTAATAGATAGAAAAATCCATTGTTATCCAAATTTTATTCCGCCACTGTAATGGAACCAAATGTAGCCATCCACAAACCCACTGAAATCAATGGGTTTTATGTTAGTTAAGATTAACTGTAATTCTATTAATTTCTACTACTATGTTATTAAGTCTGGACATGACCTAATGAGTTGAATCCAGTGCCATGGGACAGCACAAGAGGGAAGGACAAACCTGTGGATGGAGAGCATTGTGGGCATTGTGCCACCCCCTTTCCACCAGGATGGAGCCCCCAATAGATCTCTTGCCTGTTCTGTGAATGGAAGGAACCCTTCCAATCAGTGAACAGCCAGTCTGGATCTAACCTCCTACATCTAAAGTCATATATAAGTGCTTCACTTCCAGTACTGACTGGATAGGCCTATATAATCCTGGAAGGTTGTCACACCTGGGCATATTTTTTTTTTAAATGACAGTAATGTTAAATTGGCTTCATGAGCCTGGCAACAACTGCTAAATGGTTAAGCCACTCAAAATTATAGAGTGTTAAGGAAGGCATTATCACCCACTTTCACATCTATTTTGCACATTTTCATGAAGAAATTGTATGACAAAAGTACTTCCTGTATGTTTCTAAAGAGTGAACAGTGTGTTAATCATTATCCCCCAAATGTGACAAAATGATATGCTGCTTCTTTTAATGAATGGACAGGTGTTTACTTATTGGGTCTGCTAAAGATGAACAATCTCTTCAGTGCTCTTATAACTCACAATATATTTTCCTATGAAACAGGGTAAATAGTGGTCAGAATTTTATTTCATGGTGCTGGAGAACACAGGAGATATATGAAATAAATTTTGGCATTTGTAGTTTATCTAGTATTTACTTGGATTCCTGCCTTATAGACCCCTTCCAAATCAATTATTCTATGCTTCTACTTCCAAATGTAAAGTGATGAATTACCAAGCCAAAACAGGCCACTTCACAGAAATAATGGATTATCATCTAATAGTGTCCTTCCACTAATACAGGAGTGGGCAAAGTGCCCCACTGGTGCCAAAAATCTGTTTTCTCACACAAAAATGAGTGAACTTCTGGCCCCGAAAGCCTTCAGAAGCAACTGATTTTTTTTCAAATATGTTAAGTGAGGTAACATGTCCAAATATCAGCTTTCCAAAACCAAAAGTAGGCTTCCAGCTACTTCAAATCCCCGCCCCCATTTTTTCTACATATTTTGGGTGGTGGATGAGAACCATGGAGGACTGCAGAGGGAAACAAAATGGTCCTTGAAGCCCCACAGTTGCTCACGCCTAGCAAAAATGGATATTGCTGGTGGACTGAAATCCTCCTCCACTCTGCAGCCCCTTGTGTGCCCTGTAAGTTCACACTGTGTTGCAATAACACTTGAACAACGGGGGAAGAACATTCAGGGAGTATGGAGGGGCTGCTGGAGGAAGGAAGGAAGCTCTCACACTTTGAGCAGAAGTCTCCTATATTACGTTGGTGGAAAGATTATCAATTAGTCCAAAAGCATTAAACTAATTTGGGTAAAGCTAATCCTGATCTGGCACTAACATAAACTGCTTGAAAGTTCCCTATCTCCTTACTTCAGTTTCTGAGGCTCTCTAAGGCTGTTTTTTGCCTTGAGGAAGCCTCAGGATGGGGGAAGGGGAGGAATTAATAGTAAAACATCCCAGCCGGATCACTGCTGTGGTCCCAACTGGGGCAGCAAAATTTGAATATTAAAGGCCCTCTCCACCTCATCCCAAGGCTTCCAAAGGCTTCCCTAGGGGAAAAGGGAGCCACAGGGAGCCTTGGAATGTGAAAGTGTGTGAGTTGGGGAGGCAGTTAGATTGGAGGGCTTAGCCAAATAAAGCAAATTTCTATGTTGTGAAAAAGTTCTTTATAAACAACCAGTGCACTGAGACCAGCTCAGTTCTGGGAAGACTAGTACCATCCAGTTCTCATATACTAGTTGATAGACATTCAGGCAAACAACCACCAGTCAACATCAATTACATAACAAGGGGTAACTTAGACAAAGGACAAAGTACCTTAACTATTTCCTTTAATATATCATATAAGCTAATCTCCCCCTCTTTTTTTAATAAATGTACCATTATATTTGTTTTCCTTATGTTCTTTTTTTCTCAGTAATAATAAAACTTCAGTCAGAAACTCATATCCATTTAATTATATACAAATTGTACTTTCATGCCTCTGTGACCCTATAACCATAGTTTGTTTCCATGTCCTTCTAAAAAGGAACAACTCACATGTTGACATGGACAAGCAGTTCTTCACTCACTCCCCCTCCAATCCGGATTAGATCTAAAGGGTCAAGCATTTTGAAACACTGTGTTAATGTCAAGCTACCAGCTGTTTCTTACTGCGGAAACTTAGAAAATATATGTCTACACAGGGCATCATATATAGGAGTGCAGTAATGCTGAATTTTATTTTGATTTCTTCATCGGGGCTAGGAAACTTTCAATGTTTAAATTATTTCCCATTCTGGATCTAGGTTATGCTCCTGTAATTTTACACAGAGGGATTTTGCCCACTGTGTGTTATGTGCTATCAAGTTACATTCAACTTATGGTGATCCTAATATGGTTTTCAAGGTATGTGAGGTTTTTAAAGAGTGGATTTATAAGTGCCCCCCACCCCACCCTGAATTCACAGAACGTAATGAACTGGTAAACTGATGATTAAAACTTACTGAGCTGGATTGCTTCTAACAAACCAGTGTCCAGAAAGAATACTTCCTTGTACAGATTACTGGGTTGGACTACGTGCATGGCATGTGAATGTTGTTCCTAAGGGTTTTTTTTTTTAAACAAAAGCCATGGTAAGTAGCTGTAATCTGGAACCACATTTCACAGCAGAATGAGAAAATATAAGAGGAAGGTAATACATGTTTACCTAAAGGATGCTTTTTCTAACAAAACTATCTTCTCTGAACTGCCTTTTTTTCTGGTGGTGGGAAAGACAGAGGAACTCTGATCATTGTCTACGCTGGGCAAAAAGCAGCTTGGATTCAATGTGTGTGATTCTGATGCACTAAAAGGTTCACAATAAAGATTCTCCCGTCTGCAGCTTCCTTCATCTGGTTTGAAACAAACGAACAAACATCAAGATACAATGTTCAAAACAAAGCATGCCATCAGACTGTTGTGCTCCCAGATTCTCAGCTTAGCAGCCATTTGTATGACTTTGCTGCTGAACTATTTCACTACTCCTGATGCAGGGGAGCTTTTTGGTTCACATCACTCCACTGCAGACAGCAAAGCAATGGGACAGGGGAGGCTGTCTCAAGATGGCACCTTAGAGTTTCAAAGGTCAAAACAACTAAAGGAAAAATGGGTGCCACCTTGTGTGACAGCTGCTTGCTATCATAAGGATGAAGGGAACAGGAAGCCATTAGTTGTAAGATAGCCCCAAACTTGGGATGCTTCTCCTAGTTTGCAAGGAAGAGGCTGTCTTAACTGAGTCAAAACCACAGAAGGACAGTGCATAAGGAGAAAGAGGTACTGACATGAAAGGTTGTTTTCCTTATCACAGTTTCAAAGACTGGGAATCTGTATGATCAGCTGCACTTCGGACTTTTTTACATGTACGAAAAATGCTAGAGCTGCATACATTTTTCAAAAGTAAAAATACTGTAAACTGAAACTAAAGGAATCCAATGAAGTTTCTTTGTACAGTATTTTCCACTTACTACAACTTTTGACTGCATCACTCATAGAGAAAGCCATAATAGAGTTCTGTTTTAAATTCTAAGGATTTCTATGTAAAGCCTTGCATATCCCAATTCTAACTAATAAAATAAGGCAAGAGTTATAAACAGAAACCAAGTATCAGAGGGGAAAGAGGGCAGCTCTCTCTAATGTCCCTTTCAAGAAAAAAACAAACCCAAACTTAAATTATTTAGTATGCATAAGTTTCCATTACATTTTGTTGACGGTCTTTTCAGAGCCCTGTGAGAGCATGGCACTCTGATTAGGTTTCCTTTGGTTTAAAGCAATCAGATTTATCATCTAAGGTTATCAGTGCCTGACTGGTATTGAATAACACCCACCTGGGAACCAAAGCTGAATAAAATGATCTTTTGTAGTCTGTTTGTGAAAATACCTGTTAAGATCTTCTTATCCACATGAATAAGAAAAAAATGTATAAAAGGAAAACAATGAATATGATCTGTGCCAGGTTTGGGAATCACAAAGTTCGTATAAAGAAAGTGGCAAACTGTCTGTCTCAAAAACTATATATTTTTGGAAATTATGTCATAGAAAAATGTCATGATTTCAGAAATTGGAATAGTTCCATCAGAATACATAATATAATACACTACAGTGTAAATATATGGGAAAACAAACACAAATAGAAATCTGTTATTTGATAGCAAGATGTAATCATGTGTACTTTCCAAATTCATTTTAAAAAGACTAATAAATGCAAGCATAAATGCTAATAAATAAAAGTGTAAATGTAATAAAAGTATTAGAATAGTAGCTGTGATCAGCATACGTGATTAAATCAAATTATTTTTGATTTGATAAAATACTTTGAATCCAGCATGTTAAATGGCAAGGCAGCACAGCATGTATATATTGGTTCAGCTTCTCCTCTGTTTAAAAAGTAATAGCAATCCACAGTCATTTGTGATGTGTGAAAAATACAATAAAATTTTCCGAGAGAGCAGGAAGTGCACATTTATATTGTAGACCTAAAAGAAAACTCTATAAACAATGCTGGATTACTGAATGTTTTGCTATTTTTAGCCAATTCCGCAATATATAACCTTAATTACTATTTGAGAACAATTCAGGTAAAAATCCTAAAGCACTTAAACTCTAATAAAATATATGACAAACATGAGATAACCATACATCTGTATCATATGACTAGCAGAAGAGAGGAGCATATAAATGGGTCTGTAATTTTGGCATCACTCTTTAGTAGTCTGCTCCTTCTTTCCTGCTTTGATTAATCAGGTGCTATTTCTACAAAATGAAGGGCACGGTACTAGGGTTAGTTTTATTCTCCTTTGCTATGCTCATATCTGAAGTAAAGTCTGAAGGAAATCTCAGACTCTGTGGGAGAGACTTTGTCAGAGCTGTTGTCTTCACTTGTGGAGGATCTCGCTGGAGAAGACAACTGAATGACTTTCCAAAAGGCTTCACAGGTAACAGTTTTAATTATATACAGTCCCAATGCTCTGGCATTTCTCATGCAACAGCTCTATTAGTAGTATTACTTTTATGTAGTCTGTTTGTTTTTAAATGCTTCTTCAGATGTCTTTCAAAGATTCTGCTATCTTTTCAGCACCAGTCAAATTACCTTTTAATCCAGGCTTTAAATCGTTAAACTGTGCTTTTATTCCTGCCAATTTTATCTCACGTTTCATCATTTTTAATTTATCTTGGATAACACATAAGTAAAAGCTAAATTAAAAATTACGGGATAAAAATGGCAGCGACAACCACAGATGAATAATTTATAGTCTGGAGAAATAAAAAGATATTTGACTGGTGCTGAAAAGATGACAGAATAAACATTAGGTCATTCACACTGGGATAATTTGCAAGATAGGTTGTTGTTGAGAAAGCCCGTGAACAATAAGTGTAGTACATGAGCAAGTGGGTGTGGAGGCAGGCTTCCTTCTGGGTACAGACTTTAATGGTAAGCACCAGTTCTTTAAATTGTGTTTCAAAATGGCATAAAATTGATTTCATACAAGTTATTTCTTAATTCTGCATGTTCTGAGGTTCTGCTGTGATAAACATATAAATGGAGGAGCAGAACTTTGCACTTCTATATCCCCGTGACTTGAATTTTTAGTTATTTTGTTGCATTTACAGCGGTGCTTCGCAAGACGGATTTAATTCGTTCTGCAGTTAATGTTGTTTTGCGAAAAATTCGTCTTACGAAACACGTTTTCCCATTGGAATTCATTGAAATCTAACTAATGCGTTCCTATGGGCAAAAAAAGTCAGAGCAAAGTCAAATTTGGTTTACAAAGGGTTTATTAAGTGCTCTTTAAAGCCATATATATTGTGCAGATGATTTTAAAAATTTCAATCAAAAAACTTTAACTTTTTAAACATCATAGAAAAACATTTAAAAATCTGCAAACATGAGGCAGGAACAAAAACGGAAAACATTCTTCTTGCGAAGCACGGCCATAGGAACATTTGTCATGCGACTCATCAACCCCATTGCCAAAACCATTTGTCTTGCGAGTTTTTTGTCCTGCGAGGCATTTGTCTTGCAAGGCACCACTGTACATGTCACCTTTGTCCCAGAGAATTCAAGCACTGTACGTGACTCTTCCCCTCTGTACTTTATCCCCACAACAACCCTGTGAAGTAGGCTGGCTGCCAGTCTTATTTACCAAAGTCACTCAGTGAACTGCTCAGTAAAGCCTAGCCTCAGTAGATAACCTAAGTCCCGGTCCAATGCTTTAAGAACTACACGATATCTGCTAGAAATTAATAATACTGATCCTTAACACAAATGGAATTTAAAACAAAAAAGATGAGACTTAGAATTGCAATATTTAGGTTATTGCAGGAGTTCAACTTTGACCAGTCTCCGGGAGGCAGTGAAAGACAGGAGGGCCTGGCGTGCTCTGTTCCATGGGGTCATGAGGAGTCAGACACGACTTAACGACTAAACAACAAAAGGAGTTGAACAATTCAAGTTTATTAAAGTTTGCCTACCTTATCCAGCATTTTTCTCATTTCTTTTAAACAGATGAAGACAATTACCCATATTTACCACTTGATGTCAATGACTCAACTGGTGCCAATGAAAAATATATGCAGAAAGAAAAATCACAAAGCAAAGAATTCATCCCATCCATCTCTGAAGCTGAAAGAGATCTGCGAGGCCAGCAACAAAAGTTTATAAGCAAAAGACAAGAAGACCTCATGCGGATCAGAATCACTTGCTGTACTATTGGCTGCAGTAGCAGCAGTATAAGTGCACTATGCTAAAAATGTACCAGATGCTGTTATGGAGGTTATTAGGAAAGAAAATGGTTTGGGGGTTGTTTTTGGTTTTTTGCTTTTAAATAGGTAATTTTGGTACCTTTTCTAATGCACTCTATAGCTCCTAGCTCTGAAGTACGTTTTCAGTGTCACTCCAACTGAGATATTGTTGAAATTGGCAAACAATTGTTAATGGCTGCATTTCAAGCATATCTGCTCTCTCTTAGTTTATCAATAAATGTGCAATTCATTACATGGCTCCCATGTTTGTTCTTGTCAGTGCACAGGGATAACATTAAGCTTATTTGTGTATAAAATCTCCTGAAATTAAACATGCTGCATTTCCTCAAGGAGTCAGAACTAAGGATTGTAGAAACATATAGCTCTGTTTGTTCTTGTCAGTGCACAGGAATAACATTAAGCTTATTTGTGTATAAAAATCTCCTGAAATTAAATATGCTGCATTTCCTCAAGGAGACAGAACTAAGGATTGTAGAAACATATAGCTCAGTGGTAAAGCAAAAGCTTTGCACACACACAGTCTCAGGGCAAATCCCTGATACATCCAGGTACATATGCCAGAGATCACCCATCATTAGAGCAGGAATCATGTTAGTACTCAAGAAATGTGCCTGAGGTAGTCGTCTGAATTGGAAAAATTAAATGTGAAAGGAAAAACAGAGCTTATCATCTGAAAACCAATCATAAAACAAAGCAACCAATTTTGTAAATGATGGGATATGACAAATTTACAAAGCAAATCACAATTAGTGCTTAAGGATTTTGGATTTCACTCTTGTGTCATATGTAATCTCTAGATGCCTGCAACAAATCAGAGCAGACAGTGTGGAACTACTTTAGATATTCCAGTGCTGCAACTGTAAGACGTAAGGCATAACCAGTCCTTGTTGAATATTCCTAGTGGAACACACTTTGAACGATTTCAAAATGACTGCATTCTAGCACTCTTTTGAAGTGTTTGCTGATCTCCCCCCCCCACCTGCTGGTGATAAAGAGGTCAAAACTGGAAAAAATGTATATTTTTTCAGAGAGGAAGGAGTGAGCAAAATTCTGGAGACTGGAAAGAGGCTTACCAGTAAAAACCTTTAGGCAACTTGCTGTGCAAGTAAATTTGAAAAGTGTTTTCTCCAGATTCTTCTTTCAGACGGTTTAGTTTCAGCTACTGGGAAAAAATGTTTTGCCAACAGTTAAGTCCTTACTTGTATAGCGGGGGCCACATAAAGCTTTTTATTCAGAAAAAGGAAAGGGGCTACAATAACTACCACCACTGACGTGGTCTGGACAAGTATGTCATTGCTTTTCATTTGGGACTTAGGTTCAAGCTAGACATGTTTTAAAAATACAGTTAGATGTGGTGGCGCTGTGGGCTAAACCGCAGAAGCCTGTGCTGCAGGGTCAGAAGACCAGCAGTCGTAAGTTCGAATCCATGCGACGGAATGAGCACCCGTCGCCTGTCCCAGCTCCTGCCAACCTAGCGGTTTCGAAAGCATGCAAATGTGAGTAGATTAATAGGTACCACCTCGGTGGGAAGGTAAACAGCATTCCGTGTCTAAATCACACTGGCCATGTGACCACGGAAGATTGTCTTCGGACAAACGCTGGCTCTATGGCTTGAAGAGCGGGATGAGCGCCGCCCCCTAGAGTCGGACACGACTGGACAAAAATTGTCAAGGGGAACCTAGCAACTGCATATTGTCATCTTTTCTAGAGCAAGCACAGCGAATCCAATCTGGATTGGAAGCCCAGTACAAGGTATAGAAAGGATTTTATATTTACCACCTGCTGTATTCCTAAACTGGTGGAGATGGGACTGGGCCTACACTTTTTATGGCCAGAAACTGATTTATGAAAATATGTGAATGAACTGGGTCAGTTAAAATTGCAGATGTGGAGTACTTAATTCAGATTGGAACCACTATGGGAGGCAAAGAGGTAACTCTTTCTAGACTCTCTCCCCCTTTAGGCTCCTAATCTATATTTCCATTTTAAATATCTAAAAAAACCCCAGTAAGACACTTCAGGTGGTACCTGCAAGCAATATTTTCAAGGCAGTTTAAGCCCCAAGCAATGGGGGCAAATATTAAAATGGAACTCAGATAAAGTAGCGGGGGCAAATTTTGAACAAGACATCTCAGCAAGAACAAACAACTGTCAACTACCTTTATATTTCAATATTTTTCCAGAATAAAACACAATTTATTAGGTATCATTTACATGTATATTTGTGTGGGAAAGGGGTTACTGAACCCTCTTCTAGGAATTAGTACATGATCAACCATTATGCTTACACAAATTCCAGTGAGTTAGCTGGGTTAATCTGTTGCAGCAAAACGAACAAAGAGACTTGTGGAACCTCAAAGACTTGCAAGTTTTATGCACTGCAAGCTACCGATTCAGATACATGGAACATAGCATTAGTGGACAGCTATTTATATGCGGGAAGTGTGGGTGAAGTGAAATGTAATAGAAATGCAGAAGGTCCAGGATGGTCATGGTCACTGATTATTAATGATTATTTAATACAGTAGTCCTTGGGAAATGATCAATGCAGATTTTAATAGTAGACACTCAATCTTATACCAACTGTTTACTGTATATCTATAGGCCAAACTTTTTTTATACTTGGTTTAGATACCACACCTGTGTTTATCTGCTCATGCATGCTTGGATATATTTGTCACACTTATCAATGCCATTTGAATTACTTTTAATGACCACCCTTTATATCTATACTTCTCATCAAGAAGGCTGAAATCCTATTTAGCTTCATGTAAGGTCACGTTACGCTAGCAAAAGTGTTTTGGACATTATGTCTTAAGTACTCCAGATCTCACAATTAAAAAAGAAGAAGAAGAAATTAAATACTGAAATCTCTGTCAAGTTTGTGAAGTGCACAATCATCACTTGGTAATGGGGAAAGGAAAGTTAAGGTGTGACCAAACAAGTGTTTCATCTCTTGTTTGGACGACTATGGGGGCAAGTTAGTTTGCTCTTTTTGACAGCGATCACATGATTTAATCGCTGGAGTGAACCTTAGAGTGTCCCTACCTGCAACTTTCTAGCCCCTCTGAGTGGCTTCTACTTTTTTAGTGTGGGTAGGATCGCTCTGGTTTGGCCCATTTCCAATGCATGGTATAGCTGGAAACATAAAAAACAAGCCTTCCCCTAATTCGACAATATCATGAATTAATTGGCTTAAGAACACAGTGACTTCATAATATTGGCAAATTAATCACTTTGGCTTTGTCAAAGGGCTGATGAAGTGAAAACTCTTTTTTAAAGTGTGTATTAGGGCAGCAAACGTCCACTGTATCGCTTTAAAGACCTAAAAGACTAATGCAAAACATGTGTATTTTAACAAGTTAACTGACAGCAGGTTGCACTGCATTGTCCTAACACTTTAAAGTGATATAGCGAATATTCAATGCCCCAATACACACTGGTTTAGGTCGCTGGCTGCAGAGGTTGGGAGTTTGATTCCCCACAGTACCTCCTGCAAGTAGAGCCAGTGTATGTGGCCTTGGGCAAGCTGCACAGCCCGAGGATGCCCTCAGAAGAAGGGAACAATAAACCACTTCTGAGTACTCTCTATCTAGAAAACCCTGAAAAGGGTCACCATAAGTCAGAATTGACTTGACAGCACATGATGATTATTATTAGAGATGGGGGTATTCATATTCGTATACAAATATTCCCCCACAGGTGGAGATAATGAGGGTCTGGCCCCAATGGGGCTGGACAGTCCACTCACAATTCTGCCGCTGCCGTGAACTCAGCAGAGCCTTCCTATCACTCCGTTGCTCGCGATGGATTAGCCACTCTGCGACCTGGCAGAAAAGCTTGTCATCTGTCAGGACTGGCTAATCATCAAGCTTGCAACAGCGGTGGAATCGTGAGTGGACTGTCCGGCCCCATAGGTTTGGACCCTCGTTATCTCCACCTGTGGGGGGATATTCATATATGAATATGAATACCCCCTCTAATTATTATTAATACATCCTTCAAAAACATTTTCATCCCACATATATGTTTGTCTACTGAATCTGTATTTCTTGCATCTGAAGAAGTGGGCTGCAGTACCCAAAAGTGTCTGCTAAATAAATTTTATTTGCCTTAAAGTTACTGTAATATTTTTCCTAGTTATGCTTATGCATCTGCAGTGAGAATTACACCAGTTGTATTACTTTCTGCTATTTTAAAAATAAATTACTACCTTCAGCACCTATAAAATAGAACTACTCTGTTTAGCAAACCCAAATAAGCAGAACAATCATCTGCAGGTTTAACTCAGATATATGTCCTGTAATTATTTTCATTGGTGCTTCATCCCACATAAACATGCAAAGGAGAGCCACAAAAAAATGGTGTCTTCTTGTGGCCTCAGCTAACACATCCTATATACTGAACCTTCTTTTGTTACTCAGAGTAAATTGCATAGACATTTGCAAGAGCAAACAACGACCTATTTTTGAAAGAGTATGATGAAAAAGTGTCACTTGTAGTGTCCCAGAGGCACCTGCTTCCAATCAGTATGCTCTGCTTCTCTAGTTGTCCAATATATATAATCACAATAATTTTGTATCTTGGTATCATCAGGTCTTTTATCCGAGCCTTAATTACCTAAAAGAGAGGGGAAAAGAATCTGTACTTTCTCACATGCAAATTAATATAAGCACACAGTTGATTGTTTTACTTGAACAACAACAGTATAAAAACAGTCACATGTTATTTAGATAAGTACTGTACTGTATTGCACTGTGAGTAATTCAGAAACATCTAATCTCTGTAGTGTAGTTAAAAGTGCTTAGCTGGATTTCGTCTACATGATTGGCGAGCACTTCCTATTAAAATTTTACTGAAAGCAAGTCTGCCTAAGTTCAGCAGAGCATAATTTCTCAAGTAGTTATTATTAAGGCTGCAATTACACTGGCAAGCTGCATTGGGTCTGTTTCGGCTTTGCTGTGGTTTGATTCACAGACTATCTTCTGTTTCAGTTCACAGTTAGTGATAACCACTTAGGGACTGTGGACTGATTTGAAGCCAGTGTCCACATGGAAACTGTGCAATCCACATTTTAGTCCAAAGCCCCCTCCTTTTTTCTTGCCTCTGGTCTTGCCTCTGATGATCCTTTTATGGTTCTCTGTCAAGCCACTTGGTTTTTAAAGGGTTGCACAGCATTAGGGAAGAGGCAGCAGCTTTCCAAAGTTCTAATAATGTATCCAGAAATACACATACTGCAAAAACATATATGGTCTTCTATATTTTGTCATGGTTGTTTCTATTTTGTAGTAATTCTTTTTCCTATGCAGAGGTGATCTAGCACTAAACTAGTGTTAATGCAATGACTCAGCATGAAACTCATTTACTGAAAAAAAAATTGTGGAAACTGTAGTAGGCAGATTGTTGGGAAGGGTGTTCCTGCAGTCCCTAAATATCATGCCCCAACTGCCTACATCGCCACAACACCAGCCACAAACACCCCCAATCTTTTTGCAGTGGGAAACAACTGATCACATGGGGAAAAACTCCACTTAAAACATTCCAGCTTAAAAAAGGTAGAAGTCCCCAGAGACAGAGAAAAAGCTCCATGTAAGAGCAAAAATGGCTGGACTGATTTGGATTGGCCTTTGCATAGTATGATCAGTTTTTTTAAAAAAGAATTCATATGTTTTATAACCATAGCAAGTTCCATGGTATTTCACTGTGTTGTTGCAGCCGAAGAGAGCACAACATGGATACTCTCCAAACAAGCAAGAAAAGCCATTTAGTGAGCGATTTTCATCCCTTAAACAATTTCTTCACAATTCAAAACACCATCATATGGTAGCTGGTTTTTGGCAGCCTCCATGATGGGCCATAATGTGTGAAAGCAGTCTCAAGGCTGAATCTACACTACACTTTCTGGACAAGGACGTGTGCCATTTACTGTAACTCAGATATAACCAATGTTTTTGAAAAATTGGAGCACATATAGTAGCTATATGCTGGGGGTTGACAGAACATAGTGGGACATATCAAGAGTAAAAGTGCAATACCCAGAAACAGCTTGGAAAGTCACAAGGAATTCCATTTGTAGTTTACTGCACACCAGAAATGATTAGACAAGGCCTAGGAACCATTTCTCTGGAAACAGCATGAAAGATGAAAACATAGATGGCCTACAGAGAGCAAATCTACCATTTCCTGAAGCAAACAGCATGACAATCTACTATACAGGTTGAGCCCTGGTACTGAGCTGACATTTGAGGCATAAACAGTAACGTACTGTATAGGGTTTTTTTCCTTGCCTAGTTGAGTTCTCTCTATAAAGTCTATCTCCTATGTTTGTTTTCAAACTCTGCACCCGCACTAATAATTTTGTACCTCAGAGATAGTCTTTGTCATTTGTCTGCACAATTCAGCCTCATATTTTTCTTCCTGAAGATAACTTGATACCACATCCTTCAAGATATTATTCACCGTGACCACTGGAAAGCATTTTGTAGGACCTGGTATATAGAGACAGCTCACAGCAGCATTATTTCAGAAGCATGCAATGTTAAAGTATGCCTTGCAGCCATTGTGAAAACAAATTAGTACACCGTTGCACTATGAAAGCAGACAGCAAGGGAACAAAATGGTATTGAATTCCTGTGCAATTAAATCAAAATTAACTATCCCTGTAATATAGCAAACTCGAAAAAGGATTTGCACTATCTGAGTTGTTTTTAAAATCTGGCTAAAATGGCTCAGAAGTTGGCGCCAGCTCATATACTCTGAGAAGGATGAATTCTGTGCTGCTGCCAGTAAGATTTAAAGACAACAAAATGCTGGATCCACTAATGCCAAACCCCAAATCACCATTAAATTCAGTTGGTATCAGAAGAGATGAACATGATAAACATCTTATGTTCAAAAATGGATTATAGGAACAGATGATAACAGCTTCATTTGAGCTGCTTAGAATTTTGCTGAATCTTAGTTATAGTCAATATGTGCCTTGGCATCTGGACTACTGCTATCATGAAAGAAAACTTTGTAGCTACTAAAACACCAAAAGAGTAGTAAAAGATATTGCTCTAGATAATGAAGTATATTTTGGCACTTTGGGGGGGGGGGAAGGCTGAGATGGAACTATAAAACAATAGATAACCAGAGAAAGAAAATGAAAGAAGCATTAGTGACTTCTTCCCCTGGAAAGTCTTTCATTTACAAGTCTACCAACATGCTCAATTGTCTAATTCATGCAGATCCTGGAATAGGAATTAATCTCCTTTCTGACAAATCTTTAAAAAAAAATTGAGGTCTAGTTTTCAGAAGGGGGGCTATGTGGCTGGCATCTTCAGAGGACAGGATCTAGAATTCTGTCTGTATTCCAGTGTAGTGTCTGGGATTCTTGAGTATTTGTATCTGTAGGATCAGGGTTTTTGTTCTTTTCAGGAAATTGGGTGAAAAGAACAAAAACCCATATATGAAGTTATTCTTTTCAAACATATCAATAAGGTGATTTCATTTAAAATCATCAAATAGTCTTGTGTTAGACCTGACTTCCTGAAAGTCAAAGGAACATATCAAACTTTTGATGGGCCACCCAATTAACTGCAATATGATTAATTTCTGCACAAGCATACAGTATTTACCGTACTCTCTGTACGGTGGAATGAAAACGGGAGGAGTAACCATGTCAAGAGTCCCTGCTATGTGATTTATTTATTTCAAATGTTACTATGAACTACCTCAAAGTAGCAACACTTAAATTAAGTTGTTAATAACGTATTCACTGGCTCCTATTATGCCCCCAGGAAAAGGTTCTAAAACTGAAGATGAGATGTTTTCTGGAAGCTTGCACAATAATAATGATTGGTATATATACTAATACTGTAGATGGCTGGACAGTTCAGCGGTTTAGGTATCTGGCCATGGAGCCAGTGGTTGGGAGTTGGATTCCCCACTGTGCCTCCTGTGAAAAGAGCCCGCCTGTGTGGCCTTGAGCAAGCTGCACTGTCCCAGAATGTCCCCAGGAAGAAAGGAATGGGAATCCACTTTTGAGTATTCTGTACTGGAAAACCCGGAAGAAAGGAATGGGAAACCACTTTTGAGTATTCTGTACTGGAAAACCCTGAAAATGGGTTGCCGTAAGTCAGAATTTACTTGTTGGCACATTATTATTATATATACTAGTACATTGAGATTATTAGGTGTTCCAAACGCTGATTACGAGAGACTTTCTATTTTAAAATATATCTTCCTATTTACAAACTCCAAAGCAGAGTGGGGAACCTAGAAGTCTGTAAGGACAGAAAGGTTCAGAGAACTACTTGTTGAAAGTTGTTGTTGTTGTTGTTTAGTCGTGTCCGACTCTTCGTGACCCCATGGACCAGAGCACGCCAGGCCCTCCTATCTTCCACTGCCTCCCGGAGGTCTGTCAATTTCATGTTGGTTGCTTCGATGACACTGTCCAGCCATCTCATCCTCGGTCGTCCCCTTCTCCTCTTGCCGTCACACTTTCCAAAGTTGTTGTCTCTTTATAATCCTCCCTGTTTAGAACACTAAGTCACAATTACATTTTTACAGCAATCATTGAAGCCTATACTCTGTGTAATTGGTACAGAGCCTGAAATTAGGAACATTTTCTACTATAAGTAGATACTTTTACTTCTACATTCAGGTTTAGCTCATAGCACAATCTTCTTGTTTTTTTAAATCTTTGGTCGTGATCTCATCAGCTTGCACATTCAAGTTAAACTTTCTGAGTCAAAATGAAAATTACAGTGAATCCATCATTAGAAGTGGAACTCCCTTTAAAAATTAATTTATTTGGCGGGGGGGTTAGTGCAAAGTTTTTCAGTAATACAATCTGCAAATTGCCTTCTCTTTTGCTGATTGGTCATCAAGAGATAAACTCGAACTCCATTTGCATGCTTACTACACAAACATGGCAGGTTTGATGGCAGCTCTGAGTGTCTTTAGAGGGACAATATTTAATGACCTTATAATTGTAAAGGAAGCAACATAAACTGTGCAAACAATCTGAAGGAGTGCTTCTCTGGAAATAAAATGTTTGGAAAAAATTTTTTGTATTCTCATCTACTAATATATTAGTCCACTGAAGTTCTTATGCTTTAACAAGCATCTTCTTCATTTGTTTATCGCTTGTCCTGATCGAAATGGGTGTTTGTGTGCGTTCACAGGAGAGCTGACATTAAACTAATATGAACATTACTGATTTATAAAAGGAGGTTGGTACACCCCTTGGCACAATAAAATTTTAGATAGCACTAAGAACATGTTTATTGTTTATTAAATGAGGCTTCTTTGAGTTTTCACTTTAAATTACTATTACTGACATGTTCATAAGAATTTTGTCAACTACTTGTCTTGATGCTTTTGGGAATTATGAAACATCTCCAAAACATGTGTCTTATAGCATTCTATTTCAATTTTTTCCACTAAAAATGTATCAGATCATAATGTGGATTATCTCCAGTTTGAAGGAAAAGTTTTCACAACTCTGCACCAAAAATAGATTATTAGGTGATCATGCAGAAATTCCAAAAATTGACTTCTCAAAGGTTATGAGCAGAGATTTGCCCCAGGTAAGCAGCTTTCTAAACTGAGTTCTGTATTCACACTGTATCTATGGATTTCCCTATATTTTAAGGGAAAAAAAAGAAAAGCTCCAGTTTTTTCTATTTATTTTGGGACAAACTGTTTCTAGACTAGTGGAACTGCTTACCAAAGATTCAGTCTTTCGCAAGGCCCTTACTATTATCTATAATATACTCTAAAATATTATTTCTCTTTGCTCCTCCAATATAACAAATTTTAGCTATTCAAAATAAGATCAATATCACTCAACCTTTATATAATACTAACGAGTTTTAAAGCACATGTCAATAATTTAGAAATATTTTTGTTTTTTTTTTCTTTTTCAGTTTTTTCCTAGTCTTTGAGTGAAGTTTAAAATCTCCACTTGGTTGTGTGGTACTGGTTCTAAATTCATATCCTCAGGCTAGAATAGATGAAATTTACATTCACTGACATTTTTGTAAACTGATTTGTCCTCCCTCACAGGGTTGATGTTTACTCTGCTGGAAAAGAGTTACTTGTCCTATAGTTCCCAGAGTGAGGGGATACAACTGCTACTTAACTCAGGCTTCTGGCACTCAGTGGCATTTTCCACTGGGCATTTTGGAAGGGCTGAAACTGGGTGGATTTTGCCTACACAGAGTATTCCTGGTGGCAGCAATACCAGTTGCTTCTTCTGAATTTGCCCCAAGAGCTAGAGGAAAGGTTTTCAGCAGATGTTTTTGATGCCATGGGAGGGTTTTTTGTTTGTTTGTTTATTTTGATAATTCTTCCTTCCTTTATGTCCCCTGAAAGTCTACTCTAGGGGGATCCCTGTTTGTTGAATATTATTTATTTATTTATTTATTTCCAGGGAAGTATTAGTCTGTTACAGCAAAAACAACACCTGAAGAAGCGGGCTGCAAACAAAACTACCAAATCATACTGTTAGTCCAGTATCTTGTTTGGTTTGGAACACTTATAGAATGTATGTTCAATGTGTGGTTCCTCTATGGCCGCTACTTGCACAAGGGAGAATCCAATCTCTGGCACAAGAGAAAAGTCCTGTTCAAAGTGACAAAGATGACTTATATAGCTGCAAGCTGTAGATCCGAAAAGCAAAAGCAAAATCCTTTGGTTGCACAGTCAATATGCTCCATGCTTGCAAACATGATTCTGGCTGCACTCTTTAAAGCTGCCGCAACACTATTTTTTTTAACTAGTTATTCTTGGCTGAAATTATGGAAGAGTTGACCCACAAAATCCCTGATTTAATGGGCCTAGTCAAGCTGTGATGTACTATGGATTTCAGCCATTATGTCTTGCATTTCCTCTGATGAGCCTAGGGCAGTACACATGACTGTCCACACTACAAATGATGCACTTTCCATACATTAAACACAGTCTTTGGCTCTAAACCATAAAAAAGATCGTGTCAAAATACTGATGCATATGTGGTGCTCAGTGCACAACATTCAAAACGTGAAATTTATTTCTAGGCATGGAAAAATAATCATCATCAATTTACCATGGTCATACATGTTCTGAAATTTTCCTATTGCATAGCATAGGTGCTTTATTCCTGGGATGCCCTTGTTGGTACTCCAGCAAGGAGGCTTCCAGCTCTGAATGATTCAGGCTGTTCCTTTACCACTCTGTATGACTTCCCCAGTCCCATCCCAGAGTGTGTAGTGCTCAGTGAGGATCTTGCACATGGCAACAGATTGTCAGCAATAGAAAGGAAGTGGTACTTACCCAACTGGTATGTGTTCTCCATCTGAATAGCAGGACGAAGGATATCATCATGATGGCCAGGTTCATCTATGTAGGAAACTGTGCTGATGGAGCTAAATACAGTCCCCAACAATAACTGCTATTAATATTTGTTTACACTGATTGAAGCAAATAATGCATTATGTGCAATATTTTGGGGGGAAATTTACTTAAATATATCAAGTGAAATGTATCAGCTCATTTATATGATGAATGGGTTATCTGCATTGGGTGTTGCAGTCACATTTGATCGTGCATGCTCAGTAAAGGCAGAACCACATGTTATGAAGCACACATTAGTTTCCAGATCCTAATTTTTACCTCTTTCATACTATTAAGTCTTTGAAATCTAGAATCATGAACACTTTGCTCTTACAGTTACCACAGCAGCACAGGGAAAAGTCCTCCTCACCATTATTCTATCCAACACAGTTCTAGAAACAGCCACACTGATTTTCTAAAATTGATAATAAACTGAACGCCACATGAGTTCTCATCCTTCACCAGAAACCCCCCAGGTATTAAAATAGTAACTTTGTACATATGTGAAGACTAGTTTCTGTCTGAGAGAGACAGTCTAGGAAAGCTCTCACCGTGGGAAGAGAAGTCAGAGAAGAGTAAAACACTACTTACTCTTTAGTTTTACCAAGAAATTCTTTTGCTTTGACCTCATGACTCCCCAGAGACGATATGCTGCCTCGCGTCTTCCACAAGCGGGCCATTTTATCCTTCATTGTGTCTGACATGTTTACTAAACACAGGAAATATATTTCACAAGCTAACTCTGGTCTGAAAGGTACTGGCAGGTGGTAAGCAGAAATACACCTCCTTTTAAAATTCAGTCATCAGTTTTTGAAAACAGAAGATCCAGGTGGCAAGCAAGTGCTATAATATTATACTGGTCCTTGCAAGAGCTCCTCAAGGTCTTGGTACAAGCAGTGATTGAAACACTTAATTATGGAAAGCTTAACACCTCAGATAAGAGAGAGGAGGCTTTTCTATAGTGTGGCTGTATACCAGGGAGCAGAAAAAAGGATCATCTAGCAGTGGGCTCACAGCTTTCACAGCAAATGAGTTTCATCACCACCCACTTCCTGCTTTGGAACTGAAATGATAGGGAAGGAGGAATAGCTAGTCTCAGAGTGCTACCGGAAAAGGCTTATATTGCGCAAGCCCCCAGCCTGTCATATAATTTTATGGGAATTTCAGGTAACATCTTCTGTTTGTAATCCTCCAATGATTTTCCAAGTCTTCTTTAGTCTTTGTTTTCCTCACCACAGATAATCTATTAAAGAAGGGAAAAAAATAAAGGCACCATTTTTAGTGATATCTTCAGGAGCTATCCACCTGGAAGTACCCAAAGCTACTGACTCTCAAACTCTTTTATGCCTCATCAATAACTTTGTCAAATAATCTGGGCCCCATCATGAGAGAAAAGTCTCCAGAGAAGGAGATGTATATTTTTCAAGGCATTCTGTTTATTTATCACTTATTCCACATTAGAATGTTATAAACACTGGAGCAGCATTCTTGAAAGCAAATATGTACTAATAGTAATTCCATCAGCAGTCAAAAACCATAATAATATCGAGTGTAAATTTTATAGCTACAGTCCACGTAAAATTAATAGACCAATGTGTTATTGAGTTTAAAGTGAGTGCAAAGTCCTGCCAGCAAGTGTAATCATGCCACTTGCCTTAAGTACTACAGTTGTGCAACTGATCATCATGAAGAAAAACTGTCTTCTGTTTGTGTGATGATAATGGTTGTGCAAATGGTGCAATCATACATTTTTGTAATAACAGAACTTGCCACTTAGGGGAAGCTTAATAGGATACTGGGGACAAAGGGAATACATGAAAAATATAAGAAAAAATGCAGTACAATGATTGGATGGGAATGTATTATAGTGCTGTGATTAAACTATAAGCACACAAAAATACAGTTCCATAACATCTGGTTATGAAAACACTGTGCGACTGAAATTACTTCTGTGACCACTGCTTGAGAGCCACGGCTTTAAGATCCCCCTTTTCCCCCCACGTGGTTTTGTGCCACACATGAACCATCCTGGTGGCTGCAGTTTTAGAAGCCTGTAGCTGTGTTCATCTGTGCTAGGAGGTTAGGCAAAATAATTTTTTTTTAAAAAAAGGGAAAAGAAAAAGAAAAACATTGTGGCACCTTAAGGCCAAGCTTTTATATTTTATTGTGACCTTTTAAGGGCAAGTCCACTTCTTTATTTCATTTTTGTTTTTTGTTTTTTTTGCCTGACATATCCTGGTAGTGTAGGCCTTGCACGTAAATATTTCAAACACACAGAGCAGCACAGAAGCGACAAGAAAAGGGACGAAGAGGCGCTGGGATTTCAATATGCCTCTCCTCTAGTTAGCTATTCGATATACTGTACTGCAGAAGAATTGCTCCCATTCCCAACACCTAGAGGACAGACGGAAAATCAAGAGGCAACCGCTCTTGCAATTCCACCCTGGGGAACGCGCCACTGGTCGAATTCCTGGGCCCCTGAGCTGTTCAAGGCTCAGGGCCCGGCCAGAGACTGGGACAAAGTGGGGCGCGGGGGGGGGGCGCGGAGCGCGAAGAGACCAACCAAAGAGGACTCCACCAACAGCTCCTCTGAGAAAAGCGCCCGCTTGTCTTACTGGTGTTACAAGCCCAAAACCGTATGCGCGTCGTTCTCCTCCGAGAGAAGAGCACACAATGGTGCCCCCCCACTCCTTTCCGCTCCCTGCCTCCGTCAGGTTCCCCTACAGCCGAGACCCTGCGCGCGCTCTTACCTTTCCTGCTCGAGGCGCCTGACAACCCGCTCCCCGCCTCCGTCAGGTTCCCCAACAGCCGAGACCCTGCGCGCGTCCTTACCTTTCCTGCTCGAGGCGCCTGACAAAAGCCGGAGTTGTTGCAGGTTTCCAGGGTGACAAGCACCCACCTCCCCACCCCACCCCCGTGTGGCAACGCAAAGGCCGCCACGGCTTTGTGCCCGCCCCCGTAGGCGGGAAAAGAAGAGAGCAGGAAGGGCCAGGGACAATTCTGGGACGGTGGGGACGCGCTCGTTGTAGCCTCGCTTTCCTCGTTCACGCGCAGGTGCGAAGACCGCGCGGGAGGAGTGCGGCGCTCGACTGCCGGACGGAGAGCGGGAGCGCGTCGCCCTTGCCAGCCAGGACCGGAGCCTGTGGCTGCGCAGCTCCCCGCGGCCGAACTAGCAGGGCCGGTACCCCCTCTTTGACTTGCCAATTTCTCTCTCTCTCTCTCTCTCTCTTTTGGTCTGTCTCCGAGTGGAGCCTGCTTTTCAACCTCCCGCTGGAGCGAAGGTTACAGCCTATCTAGGGTAGCAGAATTGCCAAGTTAGGGCTGCTCTTCGGGTGGTAGTGGGATGATTAAAAATGGAGGGGTAGCTGGGCTTGAGCTAGCAGCCTCCGAACTCCAGACCGGGTCTCTGCCATTATTAGTTTTCATCGTTGATTTTTGTTTGTTTTTGGCCCGGTCCCTTCACCGGATGCACAGCCTTCCTCTTTGACTAGGATTTCATGCTTGCGTCCAGAGAGAAAGCTGCAAGCACTCGGTTAAAATGTAGCTATTCCGTCTCCCCACCCTTTAAGATACTTTCTACTATGAGGAGAAAAAGACAGATCAGCTCTCCAATGGATTTTGAGTAGAGTCACCCCTTGTCTGGATTCACTAGATGTGATACGTAGAGAGGTAGAACCAAGGGTGGGAGAACAGGGATGAATTGCCTGTTGAAGATTAGAGTGTTTGTGGCTTCCACGTAGCATTCTGAGAAGGAAACAGGACACTTGACCATGGCAGATTTTATCTGAAGTCAGCCTTGGATAGTCTAGCCAATTCTGATTCTCACATTAGTGCCCCTAGCTCAGTAGGGCAGGGTGAGCCCACAGTGGGAAGACCCGACTCATTCTGTTTTGGCCCCTTCTTCCTCCTTCAAATGGACACTGCAGTACAACTCTTGAAACATTTAACATCTGACTAGTGATGGCTTAATAGGCTTCTATGATTTATGAGGTTCTCTGCTACGGTAATGGACGTGGTGGCGCTGCGGGTTAAACCGCAGAAGCCTCTGTGCTGTAAGGTCTATAGAACTGCAGCTGTAAGATCGAATCCACATGACGGAGTGAGCACCCGTCGCTTGTCCCAGCTCCCGCCAACCTAGCGGTTTGAAAGCATGTAAATGCGAGTAGATAAATAGGTACCACCTCAGTGGGAAGGTAACGGTGTTCTGTGTCTAGTTGCGCTGGCCATGTGACCACGGAAGATTGTCTTCGGACAAACGCTGGCTCTATGCCTTGGAAACAGGGATTATCACCACCCCCTAGAGTCGAACACGACTGGACAAATTGTCAAGGGGAACCTTCACCTTTACCTGTTAAGGTAAAAGTGGGGCTTTGCCAGTCTTTCAAATAGGGGTTAGCTTCCACTGATTGGTGGCCCCCTAGAAAGCAGCCTTCTAATCAGAAGCAATAACTTTCTGTTGATAACTAGCATGCAGCAGCATGTGCTCCTCTAAATGGTGCAGGAAGCAAAGGATGAAATGTGTGGTCTCTGCATATAACCCACACACACACACACACACTTTAAAACTAAGTATACTTTTGTAGAAGATGGGCTAACATGAAGCCATGGCCTACTGCTAGGATGGGGAAAATGTGGCACTCTCTAGATGTTGCACTACAAATCCCATCAGCCTCACTCAGAACAGGAAAGTGATTCATGATGGGTACTGTAATTCAGGGGAATGTGGGATACCAAGTTTTTCAGGGTCTAGAGTACTTCTCTTGTGAGGAAGAAATACAGTACTTGTATCTCTGTGTGAGGTTAACTATGGTAAAAAAAAAAGCAAGGTGGTTAATTTAATAAAACATGATAGAGGTACAAAAATTATGCATGGTCTGAAGAATGTAGACTGACAAAAGTCCTGATACTAGAACCAGGGTCCCCAAATGGTGGAAAACATAGGACAAATAAAAGAAACTAAATCTTCTTGTAGTGCATAGTTACATAGTAGAATTTATTTCCATAGGATGTAGAGATGAACAACAGCTTGAGTCACTTCAAACAGAATCAGAGCCATGTATGGAGAATAAAGCTACCAACACAGTTGCTATATATTGCCTCTAGTATCAGAGGCTGTATATCTCTCAGTTCGAGTTCCTAGGGAACATGAGCAAAAGAGTGCCATCGTGGTTACGAAAAAAAGTCAGTCCCAGAGTAAAATGTTATTTTAGATGTCTTGTTTATTTCCAAGGGAGAAAAGAATCACATTTCAATTACAACTCATTAATTGTTTAATTCTGTTCTCGTTTATAGAATTTAATAAACTTTGTTCTGAAATGGGGACCCTAATTATTGTATAATATTATGTATGATAAATAATTGCATATTCTGATTTTGTGAAATGCGTTATTAGGGAAAATCATGACGGAAAGACATTTATAAAAACCATTATTTACAAAAAATATATATATAGACATTTGCATTCTAATCTATAAGGAAAGAAAGGTTGAAAATATGTGGTTTTATGATTATCTTCAACAAGTCAATACAACACATTCATTTTACCAGTGGTGAGATATAAAGCTTTACTGCAGTGTTTCTGATGCAACAAACCTTTTCCATAGTTCATAGTCGTCTGATACCATCGCATTAGCAGCAAAGCTTTCACCACAGACTAAGCAGTAAACAGGTCCAACTAGACTTTGAAGGATAGAATAATTTCATTTCACACACAGCCTGAGAAGTCCAGACTTTTAAAACTTAAATGTTTAAAAATATACATGTGTATTTTAAGTCCACAAATATCTATAAACAGTTTATACACAAGGTATTTTTTTATATAAAATGATATAGTTTGATATCTGATAAACACCAGGACATCTAATTCAGGTCTTTGACTTCCTCTAGAGAAGAAGTCACAGCTAAAAATTCAAGACCCAAGGCCTGCAAATGCTTATACACATGCTTAACTGCATGCAAGTAAATAGTGCCTTTGAAAACATGTGTACAACAGTTTGGCCGGATTGGAGTTTGAGTCCATAAACAAATTATCTGCACACTTACAAGCAATGTATTGGTCATAGAGCATAATTATCTTTTGAAAATTAATATCCCCTTCTGAGACACCAGTATTTTTGGTGTTCTTAGTCGCCAAGTTCAGAAATGATGTGGTAGTGTTGCAAGCTCCAGGTATTGGAGGTAAAATTTAAAATGCCTGTATCCCATACACATATTAATTTGAAACAATGGGTTAGGAACATTTAACATTCTCAGTATCACCAAAAGGCAGATTCTAGACTTGCATGTACAGTACTGCTTGGCCTGTAGTGAAATCCTGCTCATGTAAACCTTTGAACATCATGAATGTACTAACAACTGAAATCAACACTAGGAATCCAGCAGCAGTGACAGTGATCCTGTGCTGGGATCAAACAATATTAAGTGCTTTGTGTTATTGTTTTTTACTGACATCACAAGGCAGAGTACTGACAAGCACAAGACAAGATGCCTGGTACCACTAGAAAGGACTCCTGGACACTTGTAAGAAAATAATTCCAACTTAGGTACAGGCAAAGATTGGAGTTTTCCCATGAGAAAAAAAAATTACACTATTGCATTTTGAAATAATTACAGGTTTTGGTTATCATGGTAAGCATCCAAATTAAGAATTTCATATAACATACAGAAAGATCAAACATCACATATCAAAAACAACAAATCTATATTGCAGTATATTGAACTGAATCGGCACCCAGGTAGATATCAAACCTTTGAAATGAGACTTTTTGGACAGCAAGTTTTGTAACTTCCAAAAATAAGTGTTTTCTTCTTTCATTATTATGTTTATTTTTTAAAAACTGAGATTTAAACTTTTCCAGAGGTTTCTGTGTATGCAGAGCTATAGTCTGGCTGCTAACAAAGGTGTCCACAGAAACTCATTTTCTATTAGGCTACTGTAAATGTAGAAAATTGAGAAATACTATAGGAACTAGATGATGGATACACAGTCACCACAGTTACACCAGAATTTTAAGTAAAAGAATTATTTCAGTTTTCTTGTCAGGCTGTTTAAAAATATTGATCCATTTTGTCCTGATCTAGCCATTTCAAAATGTTATTTATATAAAAGATATAGAAGTGATCGTTTATATAATTCTCATACTGGTAGAATCTCTGAAAGCATCACTTTGCACTAGAGTCATTCGTTCAAGTTGTGACTTTCTCTTGTCTGCATCTTATCCAGATTAACAGGAGGGCTGATTGACTGAGATCTGAAGAGCCTCATTAATTACAAGCAAGAGTTGATGTGTGTACCCACCACACCATGGTTTCTTTGGGGTTTTTCATTTGTTTGTTTCCAGCAGAAAGCTCTTTTTGAGATATTGGAGGCCACTTTATGAAATGTTTCCAAAGCTGCAGGAGCTAGTTAGCTGGTGATGCATGAAATCTGTTTTTGAAGGGGGAGTTCAGAAGGTGATCACCATGTGGTGGTTTAGGTGGGCGCTATTGTCATCAGCGTTTGGTTTGTACTCATTCTAAGTGCACAATTTTTACTATATTACCCACTTTATGAAAAAGAGTTTCAGGTGTCATTTTCCTTATTGCATAAAGGGTAAAATGATTAATTTTGGAGGGGATTATCAAAGGTTGCACTACGGATGCCCGACTGCTGGGTATTTTGATGCATCTAATTTACTAGCTATCTCAGAAAGTTTTTGTTTTGACCTTTTAAAGTGCAATATTAAGTACCAAAAAAAAGAAGAAGGGAAAACATAGTGGTTGTTACTTACTAGCTTCTCATTTGTGAAAGCATTTTCTGAGCTGCCTCATTTTTATCCCAAGAGGATTTTTGCGCTTGAAATCAATGGGAATGTTGCCTTCTATATAGTGTTATGCAGTGTTTATGTAGTCTGGGCAATTCATTTGGAAAGCAACTTAAAAATACGAAAAAATAAATATTTGAGCAGGCAATATTTTAATCCTAATTTGTTCTTCAAAAGATGGATACTTTAACCAAAGGTTCTCACACTGGCCTATTTCTAACAAATAGCTGTTCTGCTCAGGTAAATTAAATAATTCAGAATTTTTAAAAAACCAAATCAAAAGAAGCTACTTTCTTAGAAATATACCCAAATTGTTATGATTGATACAAATATAATTCTAAAAATTAGTATACAGATGTCTCAGACAACATGGGGGCACAGAACTGAGTCTGAAAAACCTGTGCCTCCCCCCCCATGGGGTTAAAGTAATTCACTGTTGTAGAGCATACATTTGTATACAGAAATGTTCCCTGTATGAGAAGCTGTCTCCCATAAAAGTGTTAGTGTGTAACACATATGTGTGGATCTATACATGCACATTCCATGCCGTATTTGACATTCTACAGATAGCAGAAGTTGCACATGTAAGATCATTGTTATCAGGCCCTGTCCTATGTAGTCTGCATAAGAAAATTGGATAACAAAAATCTATTCTTCTATCTTTGAAATCTAGACTCCATAAAGGAGCAATTATAACAGACCTCCCTTTTCACCAGATGATGTTTTTCTATGTTTGCACATTATGGGTCAAGTATCTGCCTAGAAAGAAGTTTAAAAGGTGTGACATATTCATTTGGACACTTTTGTAATAGTGCAAGCACTGAAGAAAACTGTGAAACAGCCATTGTAATAATGAGTAATCAAGCATCAAAGCAGAAGTGAAATGAAGAGGAGGCTGCAGTTTAGTAGTAACAAACAACAAAAAAGATAATTAAGGCAGACATTGCTGCTTAAGCTAGTACTAATGTAGGTGAACAGAAATTTGGTCCACTTAAAATTTTAAAAAATTATTAAAATAAAAACATAGAAGAAAAATAAATGAGAAGAGAAATGAATGAATTAAGCAATGAAAGTCAAACATTAAGTTATTTCGTTGAAGAATTGTTATACGTAATTTAATTTTTTAAAATGAAGCCCAGTAAAATGCAGCTGAACGAACTAAACACTGCATACATTATATTGAGTTTCAATGCGCAAAGAGCATAGAAGTGTTCTGTTCATGGATTCTACTGAAGTACCTGAAACTAGCCTAATGATTTATGTATCTTATACTTTTGCTTTTAAAAACCTGTAGCCTGAACCCATTTATATCTACACAGAAGTACATCTTGCTGATTTTCATGGAGCCTTTTCCTACACATGTAAATAAGATTGCAGTCCTATCACAGCTTTGAGAACTATTGTTTCTTTTCTTGAGATTATGCATGCAATATAGAAAGATATTTCCATTTAGTAACTTTCTTGAAGGGCATGCTATATTTCTGATTTTTCTTTTATGATGATGAAATAGAAGATGTTTCTGAATATGCCTTGCAGAATGAAGATTTATCTAACTGTGGACAGTATATTAACTCTATGTATTCTGCCCACTAGTGTGTCCACAGCTGACTCAGTTGCAGTCTAATCCAATTCCTTCCTCTGCCAGGAAAAAGTAAGGCAATGGTATTATATTTTAGTTCTTATTGAAACTGGGCGAGAAACCTCCTACGTATATAGACGGACCCCTCCACCACTTCCTTACTCTCTCAGCCGTACTTCAACCTTGAAGATGATTATGTACTAACGGCTAGAATGAGATACTCCAAAGGTAGAGTACACCAGTATAATCCAAAGAGGTCTTTGCATGAGGCATTGTTTTTGGTTTGCTGGTAGAGAAGTGATGTAGGCAACAGGAGAATTGCCAAGAAGAAGTGCTGTTAGCCACTACAATCTCACTGTTGGGGCATTGCAAAAATTGTTTAAGAATAGCTCTTCTATTTTGTGAAATGTTTTCTTCTCTGCCGATTGAGCTGTAGCCCAACTTTTATATGAAAAATGTTTCATATAAAAGGAGAACATTCCACTTTGCTTGCATGTAAGTTGTATTTTGGTTAGCAAAGTCCAGGATTAGTATGCAAATTCATACTATTACATTCAGATGCGTTTAATTCTCTTTTTCATTTAATGTGAACTTTAAAAGACCTTCCATTTCTGTATTACTTTTACATTTCATCCAATTCAGAAATGTGGATGAGTGAAGAACAGCAACAAAAGCATCTGGTAAAGGCTTTGCGTGTTGTAACCATTTGCTACTTGTGGGGAAACAGGAATGGGAATAAACATTGGAATTCAAAGATTGCACAAGAGCTGCTCTTGCTGCAAGAAATTGGCAAATACATTTTTTAAAAAAACTTGATAACCAGATGTTTTGTTCCTTTCTGAACATCACTGGTGACTCAACACAGCTCTCAACCATTACAAGGAGTCTGGTTCTAAGGTTGGTAGCTGCTGATACTAGGCAACCTGTGCCAGAGACTGGTACTACACTATCAGTTTGGATGAGCTGAAAGGTGTAGATATTGCTGCTTCAAATAAATCTCTAATTTGCAAAGCACAGAAAAGCAAGATGCAAATTTCATGCATTTAGTATTTTTTTTCTAAAATTTTGAAAACCTGTTTTTAATCTTACCAAGGTTGAGAAAGACTGTGCCTTTATATCATAACAAATGCATTTGTTTTTTAGGACATAATTCTCTCATCTATTTGTCTGGTGAGAGTTTAAAAATTTATTGGATTTTTTTCCTCTCATTTTAATATTTTTTAAAAAATGGGTTTCTTTCCAGCATTGAAACCCATTTGCTGATAAATCTTTTCCCAATGTAGAATGTGTGTCGTTTTGCATGAAAGTAAGCTCTTAATTCAGATAAGAAAAGAGAGACTTTTTGTTTGCAGTGATTAGTTTTGAATTGAAATTTTGTGCTCTGAACTTGCACACACATTCCTAAAAGGCCCCATAACTATGGCACAGCCCATTAACTGTCATAGGTAAGAGATAAAAACAGAACCACACAGCAGTGTTCTCCATTAAGGTAGAAACTTGCTTTCTCTCATTTCAGCTTTTGCAATACTGTCACAACAGAGATCACCTGATATCATTGACAACCAAATTTTACTATCATGCACAAACACTGATTATATTTCTAACATATAGGACTGAAAGTAGAAAGACAAAACTCAGTTTCTCATCCCAAATCTTTCAGACTTCTAGCAAAATCAAAATTTTCCATTTTCATCAGCAGTACAGAATAACTTCTGAAATCAGCATTAGGAGGGTAGTGGAGTGTATTTTTCTGCATTGGGCATTATATTTTATTCACTAGTAGCTCTTCAGATTTCTCATCTAAAGACTCGTACCAAAAGGAATTAACTCTGATATTTTTCCCTTTCCAAAATATGCAGAATTTCAATTTCTACCACTGTAGGATATATACTACTCATTCTTGTTTTCAAAGAGCTCTATTTATATCCAGATTTCTAAGACAACTTCTAATCTGCCGGCTTGTTTTGATAAAGACATAGGTGTTCCTCAAGCACAGCCATTTTCATTTCCAAATGAGACAGCTGGATGCCAATCAATTTTGATCTCAAATTCATAAAACTACTAGTTGTTCACGTGCGCACGCACATACACATACACACACAAAGTGATGTGATTCTAGTCCAGGAGTTGTATGACCTTCCATATAACTCCATGGTGACCTCTCACAACCCTCATTTGTTTTTTCAAGTTTCTGACTGCAAGTACAATAGCCAAATGAAGAATTGCCACAGAACTAAAACTTCTGTGAATACCAGACAACTAATTTAGCAATGTTGGGTAAATGCATGGAATTTTTAAAAAGTTGTACTCTTCTATACGATAGGTATAAGAAAAACCTCACAATGGACTCAAAACCCAAAGATTAAATACATAGTTGAAGAACACAGACCTATCATGGGATTTAAATACTTATATAAAATAATCACGCTGCCAGTTCAAAAACTAATTTCCCCTTTCCCTATCTTTCAAGTTCAGTTCATGATTTTCTACCCCATTAAGAATGTTTAGAAGTGGTGGAAAAGGGACATTACTTTGATGCTGTTCTCACTCAGAATCAGATTCAAGGAGGTAAAAGGATGTTTATAATCTGTTCAAGGATTTTGCGTGCTAATAGCATTGTAAAAAATAAATACACTATAAAATCAGATTTTTGCTGAAATTAGACTACATGAATAATCCCCTTTCTCTGTACCCACAAACAGATATATTAGCTAAAGTTGCTGCTTGATATTTTAAAGCTGTTGGTTTGTTTTGAGAATGATGCCCTAGAAACATTTCCAATACATAACTGAAACTGCTTAGCTACCCAACTATGCTTTCAATTCATTTCAACGGAACTTGCATTATGAGATTTCCAGTGGATTGTGCTCTTTTTCTTTAACAGGGAAAAATAATGGAAAGAGAAACAAAACTATACCAGCATATGTTTCATCTGAGACAGGGTTTCTAATAGATTTCTATAACTTTTTTTAAAAAATGTTGCAATAGGTTGTTAGTTTGATGACGAAAACATGAAAGAAGTGTTTAAAGTGAAAACAAATCACACTTTGCATCTTTTTGGAAAATCTGTTGTAACACCTCAACATTTGCTAAAATAATCTGGAATCAACTCACCTAAGTGTTTAAAGATGGACCTGCTTTTTCATATACCGATAATAATTTATATGATACATAAAAAAGAACAAAATAAAAGAAGAAGTGAATTTGCACGTTATCTGTTCAACTTTCTTTCTGAGGCACCCCCCCTTTTCACAGCTATTAGCACTGTTTTCAAATTGTATATACTGACAAAATGTTATCTACCTCTGAAAGCATTGTGCCATTCAACAGTACTACTATTAAATTTATATACCACAGTTTAAATTACACTCATTCATGAATGGTAAAATCCTATAACTCAAGTGTCTAACTGCCAAAATACAGCCTTACTGGAATGAGTACAATTTACAAATACAATAATTACAATTTAAAACATTAACAATATTACACCTAGAAGTAAATACTGTAGAACTGGTCAACATGGTATTTTCTGAGGGAGGAATGTTGAAAGTTGCTGATACTTCCAACAGAAATGTCCAGAGTACAGGATTCAGTTAGTTTTTCCTCAAACAGCATATAAAACAGGTCCACTCACAGCAGTCCTCAGCTGTACAGATTTTCCACATACTTGCATAAACATCTGCTAGTTGTCTGCGAGATATTTTCCTGCAATGAAAATGAGAAAAAAATCTTTTCGTTTATGGAATTTAAATACCTCATATTTCATCTTATAAAGCAATTTACAATTGGTTGTTGTGGGTTTTTCAGGCTCTTTGGCTGTGTTCTGAAAGTTGTTCTTCCTAATGTTTCACCAATTTACAATTCTTTTTTACAGCCTAGAGTCAAGGTAAAGCCTAGATCAGTGGTTCTTAACCTTTGTTACTCAGATGCTTTTGAACTGCACCTCCCAGAAACCCCAGTCAGGACAGCTGGTGGTGAAAGCTTCTGGGAGTTGCAGTCCAAAACTCCTGAGTAACCCAAGGTTAAGAACCAGTGGCCTAGATGACTGATGTAATTATCATGAAATGTGAACTCTTATACCTGTCCCTTTTGTTGCTTCACCCACTAGTAAAAAAAAAAAAATTAAAATCTTCTTCCTTCATTGCTTGGTCTTCAAACTATTGTTTATGCAAAAATCTTGATAGCAACAACCTCAGAGATACACTGAAGGCTTGCTAAAAGATTGTCACAGAGACCTGGTGTAATGTATTTAAGAGAGTTGTAGTGGAGATTGGTGTTCAGGTTCACACTGAGTCATGAAACTCACTGGGTGACCTTGGACCAGCCTCTCAGTCTAACCTACTTGACAGGGCTGTAAAGATGAAGTACAGAAGGGGAGAGTCATATATGTCATCACAATCAATTTTAAGGAAAAGGACAATATGAATGTAATAGACAAACTAGCAAGCAAATAATTTGTGTGTACTGGTTTCCCTTTCAAAATATTGGGAATAGCATGCTTAGCCTAGCTTGGATGTGCTGTCTCAGTCTTAGTGAGGTCTCCTCTGGAAAGGTAAAGAATATTGGTTCCCAACCTTGAGTTCCCAGGTGTTCTTGGACTGCAACTCCCAGAACCACTAGCTGTGAACCACTAGCTGTGCTGACCATGATTTCTGGGAGTTGTAGTTCAAGAACATCTGGGACCCAAGATTGGGAGCCACAGGCATAGAGGGAAGAAAGACTTTCCCAGGTTTTATTGATACTGAGCGTAGAAGTATTCGTGACACAAGGCTGGGGTGGGCAAAGCATGGGCAGCTGGCCAAATATTTTTCCCCAAGGGCATTCCCCTCCTCAGTCAGTCAAAACTGTTTTTTTCTTGTTCCTGGAGGACCAAGATTACTATGCCCCAAGCATAGTAATCTTTGCAATAGGCAGGTTGCGAGGGGGGTCCTCAAAGTTCCCTCTTCCCCACAAAAGATCCAAATAAAAAGCAAGTGGCAACTTGTGATTTTGAGTTTGAAGGTTTGGGAAGCTTGCCTGCACCTCCAGATTTTGAAATTTCTGACCTTGGTGGAGTCCATGGTGGGTGCCGAGAGCAAAGTTGCCACCAACTTAGCAGATCCAAGCAGGCCTGTCATATGCCTGTCTGGAGGGATCACGGCAGGGGCTGGGCAGCACGTCCTGATTGTTGCTAACCTAGTTGCCCAGGTATGGTCTAATGCATAGCAATTCCTTGAGGAGGTAAATGCAAACCGAATTCCCTATGTTGGTGAAAACACTATAATAGAACTGGCAAACTGTTCTTTTAATGTAATATCTGTGGTTCGCTGCCTGTTAGATGTGAAGTGACATGAGAGGAAAGGCGTGGATAGTAGTTAGGAGACAGAAGTGGTGTGTCTGGGCTCATCACACTTCCATAGAATGTGACTAATACTGAGTTTTACTACATTAATTATTAATAAGAAATCTGGGCAGCATCACATCTCTAATTCTTAATCATGAGGTGAACCATGCATTGACTTTTTTACAGGTGGCGGAAATGGAGGCTGGAATCCTGACCAAAATACATTCATGACCACATTTTGCAGATTGAATCATTAAGCCCTTCTTTTTGCTGATACCCAAGTGCCTTCACTCAGAATAAAATTGAAGGTGTTATTACCTGCTGCGAACCTCTTTTTAATAAGCGAAAAACGATACCCAGCGCCAACAAGTTCAATATCACAGCTGGAGAGTGTGCTCCCTTCACTGGTAAATTGTACAACCAGTGGGGAAGGCTTGCTTGGTCCTTCTGATAACTGGAACCGTGCCAGCAAAGAGCCCACACCTTTAGATAAAAAAAAAATCAGTGTGGATTGTTACAAAAGTGGGAGACAATGTGGAATTGTGTAGGAAAACAGAAAGCTCATTCACATTACTTAAATATAACATTTCATCATGATAACTGTTATGCTGTGATCCCTTTTCTCCCTTTCTTAAAAGGAACTAGGATTTTTAGGCAGCAAATCTGTGTACACTTATCTTGGGGTAAACCTCACTGAACACAGTGGGATCAACATATCAGGAAAGGGGCATTGGATTTTACTGCAACATGGAACCCAAGATTCCATGTTATTTTTCTACATTGTTTTAATGTGTTTTAATTTTTGTAAGCCGCCCCGAGTAGACATTGTCTAGAGGGGCGGGGTAAACATTGAATAAACAAACAAACAAACAAATAAACAAATAAATAAATAAATAAATAAAATTGGTAGGGCAGTTTTATTGGCTTCCATCAGCAACAACAGAGAAGGCAGGTGAATCCTCTCCCTTCCTGCAAAATCTTACATTTCCATCTTCGATTCAATTAAAAACTAAGCCTGCCCTGTTAATAATGAGTTTCCCTGCGAGGAACACAGTGGATGCAGAAAAGTTTCATATGTTAAAGAACACTGTACATGGATAAGTATCTAGCTGGTACAGAAAAAGAAGTCACGGAAAAAGAAAGGGCTTCTATGGTTCAGGAAAGGCTGAAGGGCTCAAGTGTTCAGGATGAAAACTTTATTACCTCCATTTTCTGATTTTTGTGAAATATCAGGAATTCTCCACAATATCCTTTGTTGTTCAGCATTCCTAAACAGAAGAGAAAAATAAATTGCTAAGTGCTTCACTGAGGTATATAGCATTTTCAGTGCCTATCAGTCCACCTTGCCTTTTAAAGCAAGGGTGGGGGCCAGATTCACATGGAAACTAGTTTCACTAATATTTAAAGAGATTGATCTAACTGCTCTTGTCACATAGGCTCTGGATTGTAATACCTTGAAATCCTATCAGTTTTAAATATTAGGTCATTTCAATATTTAATCTGCATGCTTTGAAAATTTTCTCTCTATTGGGATAAAGATACTATCACACTAGGAGTATATGAATGTTTAAACTGCTAGAGGAATGCTTCAGTTCTTGTGAGACAGCCATGGCTATGTTCTTATGATTTCAGTATAAGACTGTGACATAAGCATAGGTTTTTCTCTTGCTTTTCTGTGCTCTCATGCAAAGCTACACCCCAAATATAACCATTTGATATGTGCTGTCAAGCTGGTTGTAACTTATAGTGACCCTTTTCAGGGTTCCTAGGTATAAAGTATTCTGAAATTGTTTATCATTCCCTTCTTCTGGTTGTGTTGTGAGATTCTGCAGCTTGCCCAAGGCTACACAGGCTGGCCTCTCACAGGAGGCAGAGTGGGGAGTACCTTGGCTCAACAGCCAACTCACTAGTTATCCAGCCGGTTAAATCCAAACACAGGTCTGGATAACTATGGGCCTCCAGATATTGCTGGACTTTAGCCAGCAGGGCCATTAGTGCAGGACGATGAGAATAATAGTTCACTACCATCTGGATGGTTGCAGATTCCCTACTATTATTCTAAGGAATGAGCTATGTTACTCATTCCAGCTTGACAGCCAAGTTCGTATTATTACTATTGTTGTTCCACTCATGCAAGTGACTCATTTTGTTGTGCATTATTAACAGTTGCATTGCCAGCAGGCCAGAATAAGACAGGAAAATGATCTCTTGTTCCTTCCAGTGGCCACTGGCCAATTCTGATACCGCACTTTGAAATATTTACAGAGACAACAAAACAATATTTTCTTTGCCATGTAAAACTCATAAGGGAAAAATAAAAAACCTGGAAAATTTCTGGCAAAACGCCTCTAAAAACCCAGTATTAGTTCATACCAAATGGCAGGTGGAAGCACAGCTTGAAGTTTAGTCACTCCTCCATCTATGGGAACAAGGAACTGCACATTGTTTAAAGCTACTGGGGTAGTCATTGCCTCTAGATTATACTTGTAGTCAATGCGTAGATCAGTGCTTGTAGGCTCACATCGCCAGTTCACTGCAAGGTTCAATGGGGTAGACTGAATACCCTGGGCTGATACCTAATAAAACAGAAAAAACATTAGTATACCTAATGTGTAATGAAGGAACGTACTGTTTTTAAAGGCAACAGGTAGGATGTTTCAATGAACAGACATGCTAAATAATGATAAAAGACTAAAGTAATGCAAAGTATCCAGTACTCTAAACCTATTGACCTGGATTTTTAATGTTTGTCTATCTACAATATTATGTTAAAGTTCTCTTTCACAATTTACCTGATATTTAAGCATATCCACATTGTAATATGTTGCTTGTGGTTTCTGTTCAGACACTTTCTTTAAGTGGGTCATCAAATTTGGCATGTTTACCCAGAATTCCTTTGTGTTGGCATCAGCTTGAGTATTGTCACTGTATCCATACAAAAAAGAAAGAAAAGAAAAGAAAAAAAGGATGTTATTTTCATATTTAAAAAACGGAAATTGTAGTAGAATTGCACTTAACATTAGCACAGACTTCAGTTTTGAACTTGTCTAAAAGGTTAAACTCAATTTCACTTGCACATCTTCACCTGAGTTACAGGAAAACTGACCACAGAGCTTGGTAATATTGGTAGCATTAGTATTATTTGTGATATTGCCCTCCTAATCGTTTTTAAAACTTCTCTGGGGCATTGCCTTGATCGATGTTATTATTTATGATTCACTTTTTAAAAAAGAAAATTTGGAAATACCTAGTTGCAGTTAGATTTTTATATTTAAAATTGAGTGTGGATAACACTTTTAAGATTTTATGTAAGCTGGCTTGAGCTTCAAAGGCAGAAATATGGGGTAGAAATAGTTGAAATGGAAAAAAATCTATTATGTAACAGCTTTTCTCCAATATTTTAAAAATGAAAGGAGTCTGTACAGTACAATATCTATTTTGGCTTCATATTAAGTAAATTGCTATCACTGACAGCATTTTGCCTTCTGGATTCCATGGCTCTTCCCAGTGTTTCTTCTGTTTTTTAAAATTACTTTAAAAAAAAATCCAACTCAAAATAGCCAATCATGCCTTCTGGGGGTATTATTAGCCATTTCACCCTTCTGCTCCCAAATCTTTTTCAGACCTGATAACTCCTCCCCCAGCTCAAAGCAGAAGCAACATTCCATTCATCTTTGTAACTGAAAAATGTCCCCTGCAAGCCTAAAAGAGGTAGAGAGTGTAAGGGAAATAAGGTGAAATCCCAGGTAGCCGGCTCAAGGTTGACTCAGCCTTCCATCCTTCCGAGGTCGGTAAAATGAGTACCCAGCTTGCTGGGGGGGGGCAATGTGTACCCTGTATAATTTTAAATAAATAAACAAACAAACAAACAAACAAACAAACAAATTAAATATGTCTCCTAGAGAGATTCAATTGGCCATTTTCATTTTTAAAACTGGGTGGGGACACAGGGGGTTTGGGTTGACTCTTACCATTGCCCACCTCTGGTTTAAAGCATTACAGGAAGAGGGTGCAGTGGACTATAATACTTATAAATTGTATCCTTATTTATTAGGCTCTAGCAGTGAAAATAACATACGTGTATTTCCATAAGGGAACTACAACAGCATGCAAGAATGAAGAAATGGCTGTGCATCTTGCTAGTAGTACTCATTAGAATTATCAAAGCTTCTCCTATTTTATCTACTTCTTCCTTTTGCAAAACAATTGCCCATGGTCTCCTTAAAGCAAAGCACCTACAAACTGGGGCAGCATTTTGTATGTACTGGAATGTGTAAGGTCAACAGTCCTATTGTTGCCATGGTGTTTTACACATAATTGAACAACATGTTGCAAAGAAAATAGCCCCATACAGCAAATACAATGTAACAGATGTAAAGAGAAGTGCTTTGTTCCAAAGGCATAGAAAGAAAGGAAAGGGCCGGACATAAAATAAAGGTTTGTAGCAGCAAATGAAATGGCTGAGGAGAAGCAGCCTATGGAGATGTGAGGTCAAATTATACCAGAATGCCATCAAGATGTTACTTTTATAGACCCTGATCCATCTCTTCTTTTTGTCAAGGTCAGTAGCTGTTTTCCATCCACTGAGCCACAATCTATTCTCAAAGGGGTAGTAGTTCTCTTGAATAAGCCTTTGTGTGATGAGCTGTTACTTTTTACCACATTGTGACATTACAGTGAAAAAGGTTGTTTCACAGGGTTTGGAAAATGTTGGACTTCCCTACATTTGGAGTTTAACATTGGAACATATAGGGTGTAATTAAAATAAGAAATGATGTCAAATTGTAGTGATGTTACTGTGTCATAAACTGGATGCAGGGCTGGCTCTTAAGAGACAAAGAGATGAGGCATCAATTCAGAGTCTGCAGCAAAGGTTGACTGGCTGCTGGAAAGCATAGCTGAGCTAATAAATGGTGAAGTAAACCTGTTTGGGACCTGCTCCAACATATTGAAATTACTGAAGACAGAACAGCAAGTCCAAAGATTTCCAGTATCAGATTTTCTTCTTGTTAAAATTTATTCTGGATGGATCTGGACATTAGCCACAAACAGGGAAGCAGAATTGTCTATTCCTGCTGACCTTTGCTGTTCCTACCGAACCTTGTCTGGGTGGACATCAGTCGTCATAAACACTGACAAAGAATATCTGACAGCCTGTTCACACATGAGCATACCAATCATTTATAAATCCACTGCATCCTAGTGAAAAACATACACACTGGAAAGCATCTTCTAATTTGAAGTTCAAGAAGAAAATGCAACTTCTACCCCCCAGGTCCTCCGTTAGTTTTTTTTATTAACAAAGAATAATAATATAATAGGTAGATTTATGACCAAACTTTCTTTTGCAGAAATGATAAAAGTAGTATTTCCCTATATATTCATAGAAGTTTATGTAGAATGATATTTACCAGCAAAGCAGTTGGGGATTTGGCAAGACGTGTTCTAACCTGTTGTAATTTGTCACACGGAACGTTAGAACAGCTGGGCTGGGATTATTGGCAAAATGTCTAGTGATTCCTGCAGGAAATGACAGCACCATTTCTCCAGTAATCTTCACTATGCATCTTCAGAATCCACATAAAGGCAGACAGAGAGAAAGAGAATATTTAATTTGGTTATATACATTTTTTTTTTTAAAAAATCTGCTTTTAGATAGCATCTGGTTTCTCTTGGCATGAGAATCACAGCATTCATTAACGTGAGCACACATCAGGGCAATCTAATTTTGGTTCTTAGCTTCCTAACTCTTACCAACAGTTCTAGTACTCTGATATCAGGAAGGTGAAAGTGCAATGTATGAAAAACTAGAACCAGCCCCTCATGGATAAAAACCAATCCATAAATTAACAAGGGGGCAGCAGCAGCAGCAGCTAGTTGTCTTGGAGGCGCATATATATATACCTATATAAACATCTAAAAGAAACTCCAATGGTAGGAAGAAACTAAAAGCAAAAGTAGGCTGCAAACTCTAGAGAATTTCAGTAATACAATATAAGGCTGTAGAAAAAAAAATCAGTATTTTTCCAAGTACTGTACAGTGGTGCCTTGACTTATGACCGTCCCTACTTACGACCATTTCAAGTTACGACCAGCTCTGGCTGCAAAATTTTGCTTCGACTTCCACTTACGACTGGGAAAAGGCAAGGGAAAAAGGCAGGGAATTCAAATAGCTAACCGTTGGTGGAGAAGAGGCTGCTTCTTTGTAGCTCTTTTGTCCCAACGGTTAGAGGAGGGGTCAGGGAAAGTTTTAACATTTACACTACAGGAAAGTACTGTACCGGGAAAGGGATGCAGCAGTGGGGGGGAGGCAGTGGCATCCCTTGGCACTCCTCGACGCCCTCCGCGGAGACGATGCTGCTGCTGGGTCCCAGTCCCGCAGGGCCAAGGACTGAGTGCAGCCTGCCAGGAAGGAGGAGGCGGCGGCGTGGGAGGACCCTTCCTTCTGGATCAGGGCCCCCTCTGCCCCCATGCTGAGGACCCTGTGGGGGCGGCTCTCTTTCTCCATCCTACTGCTGCTAGCTCCCGGTCCTCCTTCCTGGCAAGCCGCGCTCAGTCCTTGGCCCCGCGGGATCGGGACCCAGCAGCGGTGGTGGCACCGGCCCCGCGGAGGGTGGCAAGGAGTCCTGAGGACTGACGTGGCTGCCCCGGAGAGCAGCCACCGGTTCCGGAGTTGGAGGCAGCATTGGGCACCAGCAGCAGTGGTAGCATTGGCCTGCGGAGGTCGGCGAGGAGCACTGAGGACTAATGCAGCTGCCCCTGTGAGCAGCCGCTGGTGCCGGTTCCGGAGCTGGAGGCGGCGTCAGGCACCAGCAGCACCGGCAGCATCGGCCCACGGAGGCCATCGGAGGAGTTTTGGGACTGCCTGTTAAGGTAAGGTTTTTGGTTTTTGAAAACTGTTCTGGGTCAGTTTTGCAGGGCTGGGGGGGTATGTTTCGGTGATGTGTTGTTGTGTTTTTTTGTGGTTTTTTTGCAGTCCCAGTGTGGGGCTTGCTCTGTTGTTGTTGTTGTTGTTGTTGTTGTTTTAGGGTCTCTTTTTTTTGGCCTGGAACGGATTAATCACATTCCCATGCATTTCTGTGGGAATGCATGCTTCCACTTATGACCACTTTGACTTATGTTCCATCTTCTGGAATGGATTATGGTCATAAGTCAAGGCACCACTGTACAGTCGTGCCCCGCTTGACGATTATCCTGGTAGACGACGAAATCACTTCATGATGAGGTTTTTGTGATTGCTATTGCGATCGCAAAATGATGTTTCAATGGGGAAAATCCACTTCACTACGATCAGTTCCCTGCTTTGGAAATTGATTTTTCGCTTCCCGACAATCAAAAACAGCTGATCGTCAGGTTTTCAGAATAGCTGCCCGCTGTTTGCCGGACCTATTTCCGGAAGACAGCGATCAAAAATGGCTTCCCCTATGGAGGATCTTCGCTGGACAATGAGGTATTTCACCCATTGGAATGCATTGAACCAGTTTTCAATGCATTTCAATGGTTTTTTTCTTTCGCTTGACGATGATATCGCTTAACAGTGATTTTAATGGAATGGATTAACGTCATCAAGCGGGCCACGACTGTATATGGATATAAGAGTACATGAAGTCATTAAATAATCCTTCTTAAGGACTTCGTTTGTTTTTCTCTCTCATATCGTGAGTGTAGGTTCAATTAGTGATATGTAAGTAGTTCACAACACATTTTAATGGGGCTGTGAAAAGTACTGTTCTGCTTATACATCTTGTGCTGACTAATGGAAGAGGGCTTAAATGAAGTTAAAAATAATCCCCAAGCCCTGAAAGCAGTCAAATACAGCTAAAATGGAAATCTGAATTATGTCCAGGATTTTCACTTTATATAGCCTTCTTCTACAAAGCATCTGACAAAGCAATTTTTTTGCTGTTAATAATATAAATGTTGCATGTGCAATCAGCTGCATCTTCTGATTCCTTTTAATCTGTGCCTTTATATTCATTTATCACATATGCATTTGCCTTTATCATAGACAAGAATTTTATACTTCCCAAAGCAAAGATAATGTTGTATTGTACATTTAAAGTACTAATTTCAGTGATTTTGGAAAATTTGGAATAATCTTTTAGGAAACTATCGGTCTGGGTTGGACTGAGAGTCTAGTGAGGCAGATAGGTGCCCCTGCAGACAGAGGCAGGGGAAGGAGAAAACACCTGCTCACCTGCTTTCTCCTACAGCCTCTGGGCTCCTGAAAATCTACTCAAAGATTCAGGAGACATCCAGTGAGGCATGGGAGTTGGCACTGGGGGAATGATAAACCAGTAAACAAATTATCTTCCTTCCTTTGCAGCATGTGGGGTCCCACTGCTAGATAAGAATCTCTTATGTGACATGTAGGAGTCCTTCTGTTTGTGGAACAGCAGGTTTGGACAACACTCCTGGGAAATTGTGTATATACGTAATTCAGAATTCATATGGATAAAAGTAGATAGAATATGAACTGATCGTAGTAACTAGTTGGAATATTATTTAGTGCACGTTCTCCTTTTATCTTTGACGGCAGGTCTTAGTATCCTTTTTCCATCCAACATGTTTTCACAGATGTGAACAGTTTCTGTTTTTGTATGATTGACATTAACAGTTCCCAGAATGCTCTCCAGCAAAGGAAATTAATTGTATATGACCAATCTTGAATTGCACAGTATGATACCTACTTGTTAGGGTCTGCTCCTTTGAAGTATGCATTAACTGTTTCAGTGAAAGCTGCAGCTACAGGCAGAGTGTCTTGTGCACCCATTGTTAAGGGGCTAGGTCCTCGAGAAGAGCCTGCAACCAATGGAACACAGTTACTCTTTATGCACATGGAAATCTTTCTGATTGCTTCCTGTCAAAACTACAAAGGGAGCTGGTGGTGAGATGAAAGGTGAAAGCAGTCATTTGTCCTATAAAAGACATACTGGTAAATTATATCAACATTTACTTAATATCCAAAATTTTCTTTCCCAAACACAAATAATCATTGTCATATTAATTATTAACCAAAATCCAGTTTTTAAAAAAAGTTCAGACAATAACTTTTTGTCTTCTGGTTCCTGTTGATAAAAGCAGGATTTATGAATGTTTCTTTGACAGCTCTTACAATCCCTTTACTCCTGCCAACCTAGCAGTTCAAAAGCATGTAAAAATGTGAGTAGATAAATAGGTACCACCATGGTGGGAAGGTAATGGTGTTCCATGTCTAGTTGCGCTGGCCACGTGATGACAGAAGATTGTCTTTGGACAAACGCTAGCTCTACGGGTTGGAAACGGAGATGAGTAACCCCCTAGAGTTGAACGTGACTGGACTAAATGTCAAGGGGAACCTTTACCTGTAATCCCTTTAAGATCCACTGCAACTATGTCTAGGACTTAGGAAAGCTTTAGGTGGTAGTTAAGTTAACACAGAACAATCTACTTATAATGGACAGCCAAATATTCAAATTTCTTGCTGTTCAAATACAATGGCTATGAGGTAAATAAGTTGGAGTTGGAAAATTCCTCAAGACAGAACAAAGGAGGTGAAGTATGCTAATGGCAATGTGCTATTAGCCACTGTGTTTCTCCAATGTCTACTTAGAAAGTGGCATTCAGGCTCATTTGAGAAAAATAGTCCTCAAACATAAGATATATAAGGAGGCTTCCTCGGTTGTATAGAGCCTTCTGCAGGTCATAGGCTACACAGTCTGTAAAAAGTGCCAAGAAAATTACAAAAATAAATAAATAAATAAATTTTAGAAAAAGAAAAAGAAACCTAAAGTAGCAGTAAGTCCACATCCAGTTTTAAAAGTGGGCATTTTTTTAACCAGACAAAGAAGCGCTTGAGGCAGGCCAGTGGGCCATAAAAACTACCTCTGAGGCTGCATGCAGTGCGGGATCATACTATGCCCACTGCTAGTACAGTTGTGTTGTTGGGAAATCAATTGTTTTGCCTCCCTTCCAAACTTAACAGAGGATACATGATAGATACCACCCACCACTGAAGAGGCAATGCTCTAAGCACACCTACTTTTTAGAAAGCAGGGGGGGGGACCAAGGAATTATTTTAGGAGGAATATCCATGATAGTGTTTGCCATTGTCAGCTTCTGTTTTTCAAGCACTTAAATGAGCTACTTTATTGAAGAGTCACTCATGTCCACATAAACTGTATTGTGACTGTCAATGTGTCTGAAACCTCATTTACTAGCCAAAATCCTCTGGAGTAGCTATGCAAATGGCATAACTTTTGGAGATAAATTGCTCCAATTTAAGAAATCACCATAGACATTATCAGTTGCATACTCAGTCATACAACTATGTAAGAAGATTTGGGTCACTATTTAATAAACTTTGGAATATACACTAGTTCAGTGCTGTGCCTTTCTTTGACTGATAGAGCCTGACTTCTACTGTTTACCTAGAGGTACATCTCTCTTCCACAGATATAGGTATCAAGGTTCAACGAAGAAGGGAAAAAAATGAAGAAAGCCAGGCCAGTTGTGTGTAGATTGGTAAGTGTAAATCTTCACTTACTAATTCCTTTAGGTGGTTACATAAAAGACCATAAGTGCTACAAAGGTCCTCTCAAAGTCCAAAACAATCTTTCAGCATTTTGTACGTATGTAAGTAATAAGTTGCCATGGGGTAGAGAGAGACTCAGGGTAGCTCATAGTCAACTAGAACAACATAATAGTAAAATTAAAAACATAGCTACATATATTATTCAGTGATTATGTTTCAGAGACAAAATATGAAGAGGGAAGCAACCTATGTCTGCCTCAGTGTTCTTGCTGTCCACCTTTAAATTTAGCAATTTTATTCTAGAGCAGAACCTTAAAACAATAAAATACAGAGATAAAACATGGAGGGGAGGTTTACTCCCCTTCCTCACATGCCCTCTGTCATGGAACAATAATCTCTTAATTATTTATAGGGAATAAGACGGTTGATGAAGATGTGATGCTTTCTTCTGGTTTGTCTCAAACATATAACTGCCACAATTAAAATCAAAAGGAATGCAAGTTAACTTCACCCAGTAGAAATCAAGTATGGCATATACCACTTTTTTGTTGTTTATTAGTAAAATTTGAATAAAATAGTTAGACAACTATCCTGTTGCATAGTTCCACTTGCACAGTAGGAATGACATCATCAGTAGCAGCAGATTTCAGGATGTGCATAATTTTGTGTCATTGTTTGTGAGTCATATACAACCTGAAATTTAAACCAAGACATATTTAATCAGCAGCAACCTGCCACTGGTGATGTCATTCTCATTATGCAGGCAGAAATGCCCAATAGGATACTGACCATAATGGCTCAAATAAGTGTTGTTTTTTAAATACCAATGTCTCTATTTCATACAGTGTTTTTCATTACAGAGAAAAGTGAAGAAGTTACTGTATATGCCTAAAAGGCTAGAATAAAGTATTTTCCCCCACCACGTTTCACCAGAATGCACTTGTTGTCCACATGTTGGTAGTGCTTCATGTCAAAGAGACATATTATTAAGGAAGGAAGTACTCAGTAAATGACACTTTAAACTTCTCTCTCTGAAACTGAGAAGTAGGTTAAATATACTGTTTCTCAGTGCAGCAAGGGGCTAGTCTATTAAGCACAATTTGACTCAAAATTATTTGGAAGCTAATTATTAAAAGAAAGAACACCCATCAATTACTGTCAGGAATTCTCCCACATTAGACCACTGAGGATTCCTAAAGTTATGCTACTTTATCATTCTGAACCTAATAAACACAGACACCAGCATAGAAATGTCTGTAAGCAACTGTACACTGTAACAAGGTCATTTAGAATGTATTTAGATGTCTCCAAAGCAATAAAATTAAAAGTAGTGCATATGGCTTAACTCCAGTGACATTCATCTAGTACCAGTGCAACAGAACTTCCTTCCCCTTCACACACACCTGCATTCTTTAAAACTGCCCAAAAATTGGTTCCTGAGGTTTCCCAGCCCCCTGAAAAAGATTTTGGGGGCTCCAGGGGCTGCACACTGGATTCCCAGTGTGATGTAGTGGACAGAGATCCTGGCGAACACGGTTCGAATCTCCAGTTGCCCATGAATACTCACTGGGGGTGTGGAACTGGTAAAACCACTTCTTAAATATCTCACTTACATTGAAAGCCTTATTAGGGTAGCTGTAAGTCGGCTCTGACTTGACAGCACAGAACACACACAGGGGATGCAGGGGGGCAAGGAGAAACTATCCATCTCTAGTTTCTGCTGTATTCTGTTATTTAGTTGGCAAAATTTGGATCCTTATCTATGATTACATACTTATTTATTTTGAATTTTAAATGACACTGGCTAAAATCCTCTTGCTCAGTATAGTAAGTTGAACTCGAGAAGGCCCACTAAATCAGTGGGATTTCATGAGTTAACTCCTCCATAAGCTCCATTGAACAGATTTAACTACTTTAGGAATAACCTACTCCAGTATAGTAAGTCACAATTAGGTTAGGCCCATTAGAATCACTGAAATATAGGGAGGCATTGATTCAACAAATCCCTAGCTGATTCAATAGCCCTAATCTAACACTGAACTAAGTACTGTAATAGGTTTTTGTTTATTCTCTGTATAGAAGCTCTTTAAACTTCTAATCAAATTCCAGTCAAATATATGTTATATCCAGCACACACCCCATCTTTCTTTAGACTGTTTTATTCTAGTTAACTGGGAAATTTTTCTATGATGTATTAAGATATATAATTGATACATTCCTTTCTTAATTGATCTTTTCCCATTATTATGTAGAGTAAAACATATATTCAGAAGAACTGGGGTACCTTAAAGACTAAACAGTGGGGAGGCAGTGGAAGACAGTGTGACAACCCCAGACCTACTGGGATGTGCCACAGTTTCACTAAGCTGCCACCAACCATTCCCTGTAAGGAGTCACACAGACCAGGGATGGATTTTTAACAAATAAAGGAATAAGGTTTATTTAAATAACACACAGGGAAAATAAAATGATCAAGTGAATAAGATACAGTAACGTGGCTTAGTCTCAATCATACATACACCAGTTTGGTTCACACAGAACACCTTTCAATAAAGCACAGACCCTGAACCTATCAGTTCTGGCTACCCATACAGACACCTGAACCTATCAGGTTGGTACTGACTGACACACAGTAGTACCCTGTCTGACACACAGACTCCCACACCAGCTTCTTCTCTCAGCT